GGGCGTTCGCCTTACAAGCGGCCAACATGGCCGACCCGAGTTCAATTCCTCCGCCCCTCTCGGAGAGCCTGGCAAGCCACCGAGAGTATTTGATATGCCAGACACAGTAACAAGAAAGTCTCCAATGGAGACGTTACTGGGCCCGCTCGAGCAAATATATATGTATATATACATATATATCACATCTTCATAATCCATTCAAGACAGAAAAAATTTAATGAACATTAAATCATGGGTATTTAAAATCATGGGTATAATCCAGTCATTGTGGAGGGGTAAAGGATATTCTAGAGCAACAGAACGTATTTCAGGACTACTTATAAGATATTCACAGATCCCCAAATCTTGAGCACTTGCAGCCTGTATGGATATTGTAGACTCAGGATTCATTTCAAATATTCAGTAAATAATTTGGAACCTGGGGAAGACTGCATTATTACAAAAAAGAACATCAATGATCACTGTGCTAGAGAAGACTTAGCCAGGATCTCTTTCCCTAACCTAAGCAGGGAAAATTCCACAAATTCTAAATCATGGGTATAGGCAGATGTAAGAGATCATGAAAACCACAGACAGAATCTGCTTTGGTATCCCAAATAAGGCATTAGGAAATGAAGGCAAATGAGGCATTTTAAAAGTATACATTCAGGAACTTCAAGGCGGGGCATAGAAAGCTTAGTTTCCCCTCATGCCCCTGCAAAATAAAGCCTGGGGAAGTGTGTCATCAACCCTAAATTATTATTAACCAAAACCACAATGAAGAGCCCAGATACCACAGATAGTTGAAATACTTTTAATTCTCATAAATGGCTCTGAACCAATGGCAGGACTAGACACTGTTAGCGAAATACATTTGAATACTTTCGTGCCCAGGTAAGACTTAGCCAAATAAATTTGGGAAAAATAATTTCTCTGATCCCTAAACAAAAGTTGTTAGTTTTGTTATGGGTGGGCCCAATATACACCATCTCCACAATAAAAAATGTATGCAGGAAAAGTATAACTAACAATATTGTAAATCATGGTACAGCAATAAAAATTATTTCTTAAAAAAGTGGAAGAACTCTATTTTTCCCCACACCCTCACCAATCTGACATAAGGAGGAAAGGGAGCCTGATTCCCCTTCAGGTTTTCTTGTCCCACTGTCTCCAGTGACTGCTCATTCAAATGAAAAAGTTTCATTAGAAGTAGTTGATGTATGCACAGTTACACCTCAAAAAGCTTTGAGCTAAATACATACCCCAGCAAAGTAGGGAAAGAAAATTAAAACCCCACAAAAACCCCCTCAAATTTCAGGTAAACAAGATTACAAACCAAGGTACATCTCATTGCGTGGGCCTGGCCTAAACATCCTTCCCCACCAAAAGGCACTTTGGAGAGAAAATATTTTGTTAAGTAAAAAATAACAGAATACAGGGAAGGGATTAAAATATGACAGAGGATTCTTTTTTGTTAGTATAAAAACCACATGTGGCTTTTTAAGAACTTAAAAGGTAATTAAAGCAACTTCAGAACTGAATTTCTAAAGGTTTTGTATGTTGTTTGTTTTTGGTTTGGGGGCTACAACAGCAGAGCTCAGGAATTATTTCTGGCTCTGTATTCAGGGATCACTCTTGGCAGGGCTTGAGGACCATATGTGTTGCCAGGGATTGATGAAGAGCTGTCATGAAGAGCTGTCCACGTGGTGTAGGAGATGTGGAGCCGGGCCCATTGATATGGCAAAGGTTGGGCATGGAGGCTGCTGGGGCCTCCCAGTTGTTCTTTTAAGCAACATCATTGTGAACCTGTGCCAATAGTAACCATATTCCAAGAATAAATTCAACATTCATTGTCATTATTAACAAAACACACACAATTGTGAAACCACAATAATTAATCTTGATAGAAGAAGGAGTGTACGACTTGTTTCTCTGACACATTCTTTTGGGCTGTACTCTTATAAAACCTATTGTTAAATACTAAGTTAAGTCATCATTTTAGTATGGTATAACAAGTCCACTACGAGGGTATAGATCTTCTCTCAGATGAAGACCTGTCTACTATCTCCAGTTCTTTAATTCCTTCTATCATAACCCTTCATAGAAATTTCCCTTCACACATTTTCCCTTAAGTTTCATGAACATACTGCTTCTTTATTCAGATAAAAATGACCTTCTCTGTCTGGAAAACCTTCCTAATTCCCACAGGAATACCTTATGAAGAGGATTAGAATGGATTTTGCCTGCCTCAGGTATATTCTGCCTACCCATAATAACACCAACAACCTTTGTTTAGGGATCAGGAAAATGTGCTTTGCCCAGATTGAGGTCTTCAGCATGCAAGGCAAATGCCTTAATTACTATATTTACAGCCCTCAGAAATTTTTAAAATATTTTTACTATAAATTTTATGAAATCTAAATAAAATTATGTTTGATGAAAGCTTAATATCTGAATTGACATGCATTTTAATTATAAAATACACGCTAGACCTTAGTCTTTATATGAGAAAAGAAATGTAAAATATCTCCAATTTAAATATTGATTGCATATTAAATTTTTCTACATTAAATTTTTATTATAGTTAGTAAATTATTGAAACTAATTTTGCTAGGATATTTTAGGGATGTTCTTATAAAATTTTAAAACATGTATATGGCTTATCAGAAATACTCTAAATACTCATTTTTCTGAGGAGAAAATTCACAATATTCCCCCGAGAATCACTACCTGGTGGTGATTTCTGGAGACTGCACTTAAGAAACCTTTTCAGAGAGACAATTGATGCTCAAAAACAAAGCATTTTTACCAAATCACTACTCTCATGAAAAGGAAGGCTTCCAGGAGCCATCTCTGCTAATGTTCAGCCATTAACTAGCCAGCTCAAACAGGCCTTGGCTGGACCTGAAAATCTTAACTTTCTCACCAGGAAAGTTATCATTTGAGAAATGGAAAAACTATCATTTGAGAAATGCAGCAGGTTTAATCTCTCCACCTTCTGCGTCCCACTGCACTTCTCTGTTCTTTGCTTTTAAAAAAAAAAACTGTACAAAACACAGAAGAGAAGACTTTATACTGGAGCCAAAATCCTGAGAAGTTTTGGAACTGTTACATGATTAATTAAAAACTAAAAGTAAGAATCTGGGATATGGCTTAGTGGCATTGTACTTGCCTTGAATGTTTGATTTCTGACACTGCCAACAAAAACAAAAACTAAAAGTAATTACCCAAATTAAAATTGTTGATCTGATGCCATGGGACTAGCAAGAAAATTAGGTTAGAAGTGAGGAAATAGGATAGTACAGTGGGTAAGGCACATGCCTTGCACATAGCTAACCCAGGTTAGCATACCATACCCTGAGTCCTGCCAGGAGTGATCCCTGAGTGCAGAGCCAGGAGTAAATCCTAAGCACCACTGGATATGATCCCCACCCCCTCAAAGTTAAAGTGAGAAAATAAAAAGGATTACTTTAATTTGAACTTTTTCACTGACTTATCATTAACTTGGGCTGGAGCGATAGCACAGCAGGTAGGGTGTTTGCCTTGCAAGCGGCTGACCCAACCCACCCGGATTCAATTCCTCCGCCCCTCTCAGAGAGCTACAGTATCTCGCCTGCACAGCAAAGCCTGGCAAGCTACTCGTGACATATTCGATATGCCAAGCACAGTAATAAGTCTCACAATGAAGATGCTACTGGGCTTGCTCAAGCAAATCGATGAACAATGGGAGGACAGTGACAGTGATCATTAATTTACAATTTTACTGAAGTATAGAGGTGTAATTTCTACCACCAAAGTTTCAATGTTACCGCACCATCAAAAAAAGACCCTTCTTCTCTTTCATCCGCCCCTACACACAATTTCATTCTGTAACCACCCCTGTTGTCATTGGTCTAGGAGTTCATCTTGTTATTTCTTGCCAGTTTATTTGCTATAGTAATTTATATTCCACATATGAGTGAAACCATTTAGTAGTTCTTTTGACTTCCTTACATATTTGGAGTGTGGGTATTGGGCCATGTCCAGCAGTGCTTGGTGCTTTCGCCTGGCTTTTTGCCCAAGTCACTCCTGGTGTTGCTCAAGAAACAGTATGTGGTGTGAAGGAATCTAATTAGAGTCTGCTATGTGCACCTTATGTCATGTACCCTCTCTGACCCTCACATTATTACATATTTATTTCACTTAACATAATTACCTCAAGATCCATCCATTGTATTCTACAAGGAAAGATTTCATCTTTTTAAATGGCATAGCAGTATTCCATTGGGTAGATATAGCCCAGTTTCTTTATCTAATCATCTGTGGATGGACCATTAGATTGATTCCATATTCTAGTATCATGAATAAGGCTGCCATGAATACAGGAGTGCATTAGTCTTCAAATTAGTGTTTTTATGAATGTTTTTGCATAATAAAATACCCTTTACTAATCATTTTAAAAGTTAGTTAAATGAAAACATTGGAAGTAGATATCCTTAACAAAACAGTAGAACAGTTTTCCTTTACTATCTCATAATGTATCATTTCCAGTTTCTCTCAGAGAGGTGAAGCTCATTGCATTCGTACACTTCTTTCACATATTGCATTCCTGACTTTCTAGAAAGCATAGACTCATAACTGAGGATGGAAAATGAGCTGGGAAGTTACCAAAGTCAGAACATAATGGAAGTCAGAGAAGGTGGAAAGCAAATGGAGTTTTAAAATATGCCCAAAATTATTGTTCTGACTTAGCCATAGTAGGTATATTTTGAAATTTCAAAGAGTATTAAATCAAGCATGTTTTGATTCTTAAAAGGGAGCACATGAATAAAAGTTTTGTGGGGGCTAGAATTATAGTACAGCAGGTAGGGTGTTTGCCTTGCACAATTCTTATCTGGGTTTGATCCCTGGTATCCCATATGGTTCCCCGAGCACTACCAGGAGTAATTCCTGAATATAGAGCCAAGAGAAACCCCTGAGCATTGCCAGGTATAGCCCCAAAGCAAAACAAACAAAAACAGAAACAAAAACACAACAAAGAATACAAGTTTGAGGTTTGTTTTCTTAAATCTACATTAGTTTACATTTGAGTGGAATCATGTAAGAAAAAATGTCAGCTCACACTTGAGCAAACTAAAATATACCCATTTGTCTACTGGGTTCTTTAATCAGAGTAAGCTTAGAATTTAAACTTTGATATATCCAAAGTAAAGATTTTCCTATCTACATAAAGCATGACTATACTTATCACCTAAAGTAGGTACACTTGAAAAGTAAATAGACAATTCAAACATAAGGTAGAAAACATTCTTAGGTTACTTTCTCTAGTCTTTTTTTTCTTTGTTTATAAGAAAAGCAACAGCTATAACATTTTAAACAAAATAATTGGAATCAATATTAGTAAAAGGCCACATTGTGTAGATACTTGAGGCATCACTTTACCACCAGTCTCAATAATTTCTAGGTCTAGGGAACACCAGAGTTGAAGATTAGGGAGAAGTTGAGAATTTCCTTAATCTGTTGGCAGCGGTCACCACGTAGAAATGTTTCTTGAGATAAAAGAGATAGAAAACATAAAATAGTATGCTTTTAGACCAATTTTAAAGAAGAAACAATAAAAGAACATAAGCAAGTTTAGCTTATTCAGATTTACTTCAAACTGATAACTTGAAAAAGAAAACAAGATTCTAGCAAAATTATAGTGGAACAGTCACATAACATTCAGGGGACATATTTGAAGCATGTTGTGTTATATTATAGTGATTTATGTTATCTAGGATGGCATCTTTCAAATTGGGGTTTAGGGCTTATAAAATTAAATCGGCGGAATATAATAAACAATTTTTCTGTGAGACCTAAGATTATAGAATAGAAATGTTAAAATATATAGCACTCATTGTAAGTGTGAATTTTTTACACATGTACATATCCGAGATCGGGCGCATTCAGGGTGGTGTGGCTGGAGCGACAGCACAGCAGGTAGGGCGTTTGCCTTGCTCGAGGCTGACCCGGGTTCGATTCCTCCATCCCTTTTGGAGAGCCCGGCAAGCTACCGAGAATATCCTGCCCCCACAGCAGAGCCTGGCAAGCTCCCCGTGGCGTATTCGATATGCCAATAACAGTAACAACAAGTCTCACAATGGAGATGTTACTGGTGCCCGCTCAAGCAAATTGATGAACAACGGGAGGACAGTGCTACAGTGCTACAGTACATATCTGGGTTTCTTGTTTCTAGGCACTTTGGGTAAAGTGTTTTTGTTTTGTTTTGTCTTTGTCACCAAAGACTTGAGTCAATATCCAAATACTGTAAATCAGGAATATCACAGTTTTAAAGATGGGGGTCCAGAGAAATAGTACCATGTATAGGGTCTTTACATGGCATAAAGATGACATGATTCCTAAAACACCAAATGGTACCCTGAATACTGACAGGAGTGATCCCTTGTCACAGAGCCTGTAGTAAGCCCTGAGCACCACCACGTGTGGCCCCAAAACAACAAACAACAACAAAGAAAGATTTTTATGCCCAGGTATTAAAGAATTGTTGCAAACAAAATTTTCCCAAATGTGAAGGAATCAGGTTTAAAGCCCCAAATGTTTTTAAGGATTTCACTACTATTGTCATTGAGAAGTTAAGTTCAACTTTCCTTCTGTCATTCCTGGTGTCCACTTAGGTACTTTTATGCCATCATAAGTGGTCTGTAGCATTTTAAAAATCAATCTAAAATAGTTTAACATGAAAATGAAAACTGGCTTTTCCCTAAATAATCTCTCTTGACTAGAGTCAAAATGCAATTAAAAGTTTAGCTACAATTTTCTCAAAGAACATGTCAAGAAGGCAAAAACCACCTTGACTAAATGCAGAAAAAAATTACCTTCCATTTCCTCTGAGCCATGTACTTCTGCAGCAATAACTGAGATTTGAGACATATTTTAGATTTTGAAGCTTTGGCAGGCAAATTATTCAGCCACTCATGTTTCAGGCACTGTGTGGCACTCATTCTGCAGCTGTGAAATCAAACATCAGTTGAGACTCTTAGATGAGGTTGCCTTTTCTGGCTATCCAAAAATATGTTCAGTTGGTAAAAAGCCAATAGATTAATCATTTAGGCAGATTCATGCCCCATACTAAAAAGGGAGCTCCTCATGTTTAAAATTCCCCTCCTTAAAAGTGGAAGAATGTCATCAGCAAATGTTCTGTGCCCTCTGCTAAGGGAACATATTCCAGTGATTAATCACCACCTCCCCGAGAAAGCTGGGGAATTGAGGCAGTACGTAGGAGGCCAGCTTTGCTTGGAAGTGCTCTTAAGAAGTGAAAGAACATGAAACTTAAAAAAGTCCTTATTTCTCTTTCCAGAAAAATAATGTCAACTTGTTCATCTAATTTAGAAATATTTTTTTCTCACATAACTTCACAGTCAGAAAGAAACAAAAAATCCAGGAACAATAAGCTGTTTTAATACCCAAATTTTGAGTTTACCCCGGGTCATTTGTAATTATTCCCACATATATGCAAATCAGAAACACAATGGCTCTGCTAAGAACTTAGATAACACTGCTGAAAACCAAATAAAGATTTCTCATCTTAATTCCAAGTAATAATACTTTTCCAGGTAATAATGCTTACATATATCAACCTCTTTTCATATTAATATATGAATAGCCATAATTTGAAAAATAGGGCACTTTGTAACTATGGTCCTTTCCAAAACTCAATGTAGATCTGTGTCAATTTACAAGCAACCAATTGTTGTTGTTACAATCCATTGTTTATAAATTGATTTTATTTATCCCTTTTCCTGCCTCTTTTTTCACTCCAAAGAAACATCAGACTAAAACACCTGAATGGAATTGGTTTTGAGAAAATTCAGTTATTGCAGGATTTTACAACAACCTGACTTGTGGCCACAATCCAAATGGTTCATGAGAAACAAGCACTGAAGGGTACCTCTTCTCTTTGACCAGCAGTCGGGAAACAAAGTCCTTGGCCTCCTCTGTCAACCCTTCAAAGGTATCAGCATCAAAATCCCAGCTACAATTCACAATGAAATTCATGGTCTCTGCATCTGTTTCCCCTAGAAATGGGGATAAACCACTGAGTCTAGAGGAGAGAAAGGACTTTTAGTATGTGGAAGCCATATCTGCCAACCTGCATCAACAGGAGAGAGAAAAATCTTTTAAAACTCAGGCTTAACTAACCAGAACCAGGAAGGTTCAAAAGAAAGGCATCTCCATACTTTCCCCACAGGAAAAGTCCAATTTAAAGGCAAGAATAGTATTCAAATAAATCCCCTATTGGATTCACATCTTTCTTCCTTACTCTGAGATAATGAGTTAATTAGAGTCCAGTCAAATGTGTCTAGTTATCAATGCATATTGATTTACTTATAAACAGTTTAGCAGGTCTGATTGAGTCTTAAGATAAATAAGATTGGGACTGGAGCAATAGCACAGCGGGTAGGGCATTTGCCTTGCACGCGGGCGACCCAGGTCAGATTCCCAGCATCCCATATGGTTCCCAGAACACTGTCGGGAGTGATTCCTGAGTGCATGAACCAGGAGTAACTCCTGTGCATTGCCAGGTGTGACCCCCCCCCCCGAAAAAAAAGATAAATAAGATTGCTTGAATAATACCCAGGTCTCAGGAACTGAAGGAAAACTAGCTTTCTTAAGCTTGCCCAAGATGAGAGTGGAAACAAAGACACCCTATCTGGCTGACTTGGTGTCTCAAACTTCCCCTGTCTTCCACACACACACAGACACACTCTGTGTGTCTTCCACACACACACACACACACACAGAGTTTGGAGACATGGGGTAGCAATTAAATCATAATGATAGGACTGGGAGCAAAGTAGGACTTTGTTGAGTCTCAAACCACAGAAACATGAAGTGCATGGTAAGAGGGACAGAGTTAGATGATGTAGTGAACAACGTATTGCCCTCAGCACTCTAATCCACCAAGCCTTCATTTCTTTGTGAGTCTTCTCTCCTCAGGAACAGCCAAGTTTGATCTATTCACTCAATTCTGAGGAACTGATGTTCACGAGACCAGTCCACAAAGCAAGAGCAGTTATTGTAGGGGCTGGAGCGATAGCACAGCAGGTAGGGTGTTTGCCTTGAATGCAACCATCCGGAGTTCAAATCCCAGGATTCTATGTGGTTCCCTGAGCACCGCTAGGAGTAATTCCTGAGTGCTGAGCCAGGAGTAACCCCTGTGCATCACCGGGTGTGACAGAAAAAGCAGGAAAAAAAAAAGAGCAGCTATTGTGTATCGTATAAAAACTCCTAACACCCTCCTCAGTCAGATGGACTAACTGAGGTGGGTCACAGAGTTCTTTTGCTAGCTTAAGCTCCTATTACCCACAGTAGTTACTGGATCAATAACACACTTTCTTGACTGCTTTACTTCTCCATCTCACTTTCCTACTCCTCCATTTCTGTTTCCTGGAAATAGCACCCAAATAGTTTGCTTAGTCCCCTGGCACTCACAGCATGTAGGTGATGACTCCCACACTCCACATGTCAGTGGGAAAGGAGACAAACTCATAGTTGACTACTTCCGGGGCGAGGAACTCAGGAGTGCCAAAGTTCACCTTCAGCTTCTCTCGAGGCTTATATCTGGGAAGAACAGATAGTAGAGGACTGTGTGAGTGAGTCAGAAAGTCTGTGGATTGCTGGGATTCATTTCTAATAGATGCTAGACATTTTCCAGCCATTCCTCACAGCTTTTTTGTCTACACCTCTCATCCTACTGCCAGTGTGATTTACTCAGGAATTGGCACATAACCAGTCCCCAAATTTAGACTTTTCCAAGTCACTGAGCAAAATAGTTAAGATATTAAAAGAAAGAAAAATTACTTTATCTTATTCATTATGCAGCTATGTGAGTGAACACAGACAAACTGGGTAGAAGTTGAATATTGTAGAATTCTCTGTTGGCTTGTTGAAGAAATGAAAATAAAAATTCTTGTAAAAAGAAATATATTCTGTATGAGAAATATAAATCAAAACTATAAAAACAGATCATTTCATGCCATCAGGGTAAAATATAATAGAAGATAATAAGTGTTGACTAGATTGTGGAGAAATTGGAACCTTTGTTAGAGGGAATATAAAATGGCACATCTGTGGAAACTGTATGGTGGTTCATCAAAATATTTAAAATGTGGTTAGTTTAAGTAATAAATTCTACTTCTGATATATCTAAAATAATTAAACCAGGTCTCAATAAGTATATTTGCACCCACGTTCACAGCAGCAATATTCATAATATCAATAAAGTAAGAATAGGCTAAGTACCCAAGATGGATGAGTGAATAACAAAAATGTGACATATACATGCAGTGAAGGACAGTGATTGGGGGTGGGGGGAAATCCCTGAGACAATATTTAAAGGAAGCAGCTACTCTGGTGGAGAGTGTGGTATTGGAATATTGTATGCAGTGAAACCCTATCGCTAGCGTCTTATGATTATTGTTATTGAATAACAGCGATTCAAATAAAAAAACTTGATCAATTTTTAAAAGAAGGGAAATTCTGTCACATACTTCAACACAGATAAATATTATGCTGAGTGAAATAAGGTAGTGACAAAAAATAAATACTGTACGATTCTTCTTAGATAAGACTTAGAGAGGAAAACAGCTGATTAATGAGTATAGTGTTTCAGATTTGCAAAATTGAAAAAATAATATGGAGATTAGTTACACAATGATAATAATATACTTAACACTATTAAACTGATCTTAAAAACTGTTGGGAATTTTTATTACTTTTACCTAAAGGTAAACCAACTTTGTTTTTCCCAGTATACCTTTCAATGTTTTAAAACTTCATATTTGGCCAAGCTGAGATTTTTAAAAATTTTGTTTTGTACTGGAGTGATAATACTGCAGGTAGTATGTTTGCCTTGCATGCAGCTGACCCAGGTTTGATCCCCAGCATCCCATCTGGTCTCCTGAGCCGCCAGAGTGATTCCTGAGGCAAAACCAGGAGTAACACTGAGCATACTGGGTGTGACTCCAAAACCAAAGAAACAAATTTCATTATAAATCTGTAATTAAAAGTTTACAACTTGGGGGCTGAAGTGATAGCACAGTCAGTAGGGCATTTGCCTTGCACGTGGCCAACCCAGGTTTGATTCCCAGCATCCCATATGGTCCCCTGAGCACAGTCAAGAGTAACTCCTGAGTGCAGAGCCAGGAGTAACCCCTGGTATTGCCAGGTGTGACCCCCCCCAAAAAAAGTTTACAACTTGATTCTTATATTAACACACTGCTAGCACATCTTAGTAAAACTCTGAGTTTTGAATTGTTAAGATAATAAACTTGATGCTATTTGTATTTATTACAATCACAAAAATAAATATTAGAGATGAATAGGCAGTGCACTGAATGATTATCAGGACAATGAAAATACTGTGTGACATTATAATAATAAATGTATGTCATTATGGATTTGTCCAAATCCATAGAATGTACCATTTAACAGTGAGCCCTAATGTAAATGATGGAATTCAAATGATAATTATATTCTCAGTATAGGTTCGTTATAACAAAACCTACTTTTGTTATAAACAAAAGTCCCTCTGGGGATGAAGGCTATGTATGAAGAGGACATGAATTATGTAGTAAATATTAATATATTTCCTTCAGTTTGACTATAAACTTAAAAACTGATCTAAAAAATTATGTTAATTAAAAATATTTTAGTATTTCCTTTTTTCCAGTTACCATACCAAGAGTTATACACCTATGTGAATTTCTTTTAATCTTCAGAACAGTACTAACATTGATCATTGCTGCCATATTACAGATGGTGTGATTTCTAACTAGAGAGGAATAATACACTTTAACGGTGTACCTTGCTTTTCTTAAATTGATGGGATGAGTTTTAGAAGAGCAGTCTCCTCACTTCCAAATTTTCTGAAAGTCAGGGAAATGCCGCCCCAGAGTTAACACAGCCTACACTCTTCAAAGAGAGAATAAGGAGCAGAAAGCCAGAGAGGGAAGAGAATAAGCCTTCCTCTGACAGCCCGCTCCTCCACTGCACTAACTCAGAGAAATTATTCCCACAATGTATTTTTGCTCCTTTTACTGGGCTTGCTCATGAAAGCTGCTTTGAATGTGGGTGGAAGTGACAGTGGGACAATTCCAAGCTTGGCTTTAAATGCCTACATGTTTGTTCCGCTGCCATTATGATTAGGCAAGAATAAGAAACAAATGGAGCAGACCAGTTCTGCTTGTTGACTCAAATCCAGTTTAATTTATATCAGTGACACCCAACCAATAATGTGAAAGTAAATGGATACAATCTGATTTATGGTTAAAAATAGCAACAAATCTTAATTTATAACATTTACCAATTTTTATTGTGTAAACACTGATTTCACTGTAGACAATTTCAAAGTAGATCATGATGTTACTGAATTCAGGGCTGGGATGAATGTACAATAGCACATCATTCTGTAGTATTTCTACCATAGAGATACAACAAGCATAATAGTTTTGTGAACATAAATAATAGTCACGCACTACTTAATGATATATTGGCTCTAATAGACTATACTATATCATATTGTAGGGTATGCCTTCTGGATTTGTATAATTACAATTTATGACATTTATAAAACTTTATATATTTACATATCTATATATAATAAAGTGAAGTAAAAATATCAAAAAAGTAATATAATACATTTAAGATTTTGAATCTTGGTTTTCACAATATGAATGATTTAAGTTTACACAACACAATTTTTAATGGTAGCCTTATTTAACAGCTGGCTTGCATAACTCCTTATCATGAGCAATGAGTTGGATTCAATATACCAATCCCCAACTGACAAAAAAAATGTATGGGCAAGAATAAGTGATTGTTTTAAGTCACAGCCTTTGGGATAATTTGTTATACAGTATCACTGTGGCAACATCTAACCAATTCCTTCAAAGCTATGTCAAAACAGCTAACAAGAGAACTGGAAAGATAGTACAGCAAGTAAAGTGCTTGCCTTGCACACAGTCAACCAGGGTTTTGATCCCTGGCACCTTATATGGTCATCTGAGCAGACCAGGAATAATAGCTGCATGCAGAACCAGTACTAATTTTCAATCACAGCTATATATATGCCACCTTTGCCAAAAAATAATCATCTACCAAGACCCTCTCTCCAGACTCCAGACTCCTGGATCAAGATGCCTGTTGATCATTGGGTCATAGATGAGGTCACAGCCTCATCAAAGGATAATCACCTCCTTGACATCCCAAAGTATCTGTAAAAATAGGGTTTAAACTCAACTATGAGACTAGACTGGAAAATCAAGAGGCCTCACCCTATATTCAACAAGCTAGAGACTTCAATAAGATAATTCTCATTCTCTCCCCATTTTTGACTTCCAGCATGCTCCTACCAAAACCCACTTATGGCTATTCTGCCCAGCTTAGAGTGACCTGTTCCCTCTTGCTGGATGATTTAGTTCTGAAGATTTGCATTTGGTCCCCTACTACTAGAGACTATACCACCATCGAAAAAATGTCCACATACTTTAATAGCCCCTCTCAGAGACACAACTTTACTTTCTATGGTTTGTATTAAGAGAAAAATTAACATTTCAACATTAATTAACATTAATAAATTAACATTAACATTAACAAACATCTACTTTTTCTGTAGTATGCTCTCTCAGCTTGCATAGTCTCCCATAATTCCTCCTTTTGAAAGTACACATTTGCTAGAAAACAAGGCCAATTTGGCAAAAAAAAAAAAAAATGACTCGTTAATGATACTTTTGCCAAATTCTCAGTTTGACAGATTAGTGATGATGTTCTGACATATTCCTTTCATGTTACATCCAGAATTTGTGAATTTGTTCACCCAGAACAGTTTCTTGAGGATCATCTCTTTCAGAAACCTACACTTCTCATAACAAACCCATAACAGTTTGATATGGGTGCTCTTTTCTTAAATGTGGTGTTTATTTTATCAATTATGTATACTAAGTTTTTGGGTCAATTCAGCAGTGCTCAGTGGTTACTCCTGGCTTGGCACTCAGGAATCAGCCCTGGTGGGCTCGAGAGAGCATATGGGATTTATGGGATCAAATCTGGGTTGGCTGCATGCAAAGCAGGCACCCTACCCACTCCCTCCAGCCCCATCCTGGTGTTTATTTTAATTGGCTCTCTGTCTTTGGTCCTACCAGAAAAAGTATTGTTTAGGATAGGTTTTTGACTAGCTAATTTTTGGTAAATTGGCCTACAACTTAAAAGCTCAAACAGGTAAGACTCAAGGCCTTTAGAATGGTGTTTCAACTTCTGAGGCTAACATTCAAGACTCTTCATTGGTATCCTTATTTTCTACTGTATCTTTCTCCTCCAACCCTATCCACAACCTCTGCCTTTCTCAGACTAGGCTGCTGACATGACATGGAGACACTATTATCACAACTTCTAATCCCCGATGCCTCTCCTCCAGTTAGAGCTGAACTGGAGCTTGAAAAATCAACTATGTCAAGTCTGTCTGCAAGCAGTGATATTATGTTGGGAGCTTGAAGTTTGCCAAAATTAGCGAATTAACCCTGTACTCCACAAGTCACTATATATTTACCTGAGTATTATTACCTGCAGTAATAACCTTTTTCATCCATTCCTTCTGGCTACTCAAAGATCTCCAATATTCTAGCAGACTTACAAGTTTACTTCTTGCTCTGAATTCACAGTACCTCACTGTAAATACTCATTTGGTAACTGGTTATCAAACATTTTGGAGACTATGGCATATATATTTATCACATTCTCAATGAGGACACTATTCCCCTGTAAGCATAAACATTAGTCCGAGGTAGGGTAGCTATGACAATGGTTTGTGGCTCTCCAAAGGGCCACAGCACATAAACAGATGCACAGTAAATCTGGACATTAAATTTTATGGGGAGAATGCCTGCCTAGAATCACTAAAGAAATGCCTAAAAAGGCCCTTGGGAAACAGGCAGTGATAATGAATAATAGGTTGAAAAGCACTGCTCTGATATAAGATACTAGTATGTGAAATGCATTATAGTTTTGTAAGACATTATTTGGAAAAATAGTAAGCATTTTTTAATGTTATAAGCTGAACAAGAGCGTTAAGGGTGGTATTGTGCATGAAATCCAGCACACTGGGTAATAAACATCCGAAAGGTGGTGTGGGATATGAACATCTCCCTACTGTTCCTCGGATGACATAAAACTTGGCTCCCATCCATCATGCGGGCACTGAAGATATTGTTCCCTCTGACAAAGAGGTATGTTACCATTTCAATCTGAAATGAAGATGAGTGACCTATGCAGTCCTCCACTGTTATTTTGAATGTCACCTCTGGGAGGCAGGTGTTGGGTGCCAGAAACTGCACTAGAACGAGCAGCTTGATCTCCATGGGAACAAGACTGATTTTCACCACTTACGGATGGATGGAGTGGAGGATGTTTCGAATCTCAAAGAGTGGTTAAAAAAAAACACCACCAGTTTCTTTATGGAAAACTACCACCAAGATAAGAGACTCTGTATTTCCTTTCTGTTTTTTGTGCCATGTCTAGAGTGCTTAGGGACTACTCCTGCTCAAGGAGTCACTCTCATTGATGCTCAGAATCAAACCAAATTTTCTCCATGCAAAGTCATGTGCTCGAGCACAGTAAGCTATCTCCAGTTCAGTAAGAGGAGTTTTTCAAAAGTTGAAAATTCAGATGTGCTGTGAAAATATGTCGTTTCTAGAGCAATTTCATTGTTGATGGAAAAGAAATTCTGGAGGTAGCCTTGGACTTAAAACTTAGCACTTCTGTGGATTGTGAACACCTGAAAATTTGGGGGATGGCTCTTTTCAATGACTAGGGTTTGTGCTATCACCACTAAACTCATGTCACTGTATACATGTCAAGACAAGAACTCTACAGAGGCATAGATTTCACCATACACATGATTGAACAGCATTGCACAGGAAACCACTGACTTTATAACATTTTTATTTATTTATTTATTTGGGGGATTTTGGTCTCTCTTAGTGGTTCTCAGGGCTTTCTTCTGACTCTGTGCTCAAGGATTACTCCTGGTGGGCTTCAGTGACCATATGGAGTGTTGGGGATTGGAATCCAGTTGGCCACACGCAAGGCAAGTGCTCTACTCGCTGTAATATCTCTCTGGCCCTATGATATTTTTAAACTATATACACAACCTAGAAACTCTTGGTAGTTTTCCAGGCTCTCTGAGAGGGGTGGTGGAATCAAACTTGGGTTGACCAGGTCGGCTTTGTGCAAGGCAAACGCCCTACATGCTGTGCTGTCGCCCCAGCCCTCAGGATTTGGCCTAATGATAAATAAAATGCTTTGTATACATGAGACCTGTATTTAATTTCCAGTGCTGCAAATAATAATAATAATAATAATAATAATAGAATAAAGAAAAAAATCCAAGTTACATACACTGGTCACTTTCAAAACTTGACACCTTCATCACTCTCATTGGATGGGTTTTATATTAATACATTATTTCTATTTAACCTTCATAAGGGCTGGAGCGATAGCACAGCAATAGGGCATTTGTCTTGTGCACGGCCGGCCTGGCAAAGCCAGGTTCGATTCTTTCACCGCTCTCGGAGAGCACAGCAAGCTACCGAGAGTATCTCGTCTGCACGGCAAAGCCTGGCAAGCTACCCATGACGTATTTGATATGCCAAACACAGTAACAACGAGTCTCACAATGGAGACGTTACTGGGCCCACTCAAGCAAATCGAAGAACAACAGGAGGACAGTGACAGTGACAACTTTCATAAATACTCCATACCAGCAGCTACCTCACAATGTCAACATTTCTCCAAGTCTTAAGTAGCTCCAGAACCACTTATCTATGGCACCTCCCTACACTGGCACACACATACTTTCCTATCTAACCTAGTCCTTTCCTGGAGGGCAGCAGTGGTGTTGAAGCATCCTACAGGCATCCCAGAAGGTCTGGGAAATGATTAAAACTGAGTTGCCCAACTCTCCATTCAGTATACTCCCATGAGTCATTGCTCCTTTTATGCTCAGATAGGTGATTTAAAGTACAGTTAATCATTCTTTTGTTGTTGTTGTTGTTGTTGTTGTTGTTGTTGTTGTTGTTGTTTTGGGGGGGTCATATCCGGCAATGCTCAGTGGTTACTCCTGGCTCTGTACTCAGGAATTACTCCTGGCAGTGCTTGGGAGACCATATGGGATGCTGAGAATAGAACCCGGGCAACATGCAAGGCAAATGCCCTACCCGCTGTGCTATCACTCTAGCCCCTTAGTCACTCTTTTAAGGATAAGCAAAACACACAGCCAAAGCCATCTCCATAGCAGTAACATGCCTGTGTACACAGCTGTAAAACATAACCCTCTCAATTTCTGTGTGGCAGTCCCCAAACTAAAAAGTCGACTTTGTTGTGAGTCAATACATAAGAAAGCTACAAAGAATACTCAAGGACATTTTTCAAAATGCAGAAATACATCATCCTTACCTTTTGGCCAGCCCAAAGTCAATGATCTTAATTTGATGTCCTGTCTGGTTGACACACAGTATGTTCTCCGGCTGGGAAAGAAAGAGAAATCTGCTTTGCTCAATCAACAGCTAAGAAGGTCTCCAGTTCTTACTGGTCTATAAAACCCTGTTTCTCAGACCCCAAGGGAAAGGAACTGCACAGGAAAGTAGGCAATAATAAGGGATATTTTGGACTGTGGGAAACTGGAGAATTCCTACCCTATGGAAAAGGTGAGGTCACTACTCAGCTCCAGCCCCTGACCACCTTACAGGAAGGAAGGCTCAACAGCCAGAGTTCTCCTGCCTAGAGATAAAACAGAAATCTAAGTTTTATGTAAAATTTCTATGCCCCGAAGTGTGGACAACTAAATCAAATTTAAATACACAATTGTCAAGTGTAATGTATCTGTGATGTCTATTTGGCCCAGAGCTGCTTATTTGACTGTTGGCTTGGAATAGAGACACCAAACTCTGGCTGCACATTATCATTATCAGGGAATTTCTCAAAAATATCAGTGGCAAGTCCTCAATCCCAACTAATTATATCAAAGTTCCAGTGGTAGGATCAAAGTTTCACTAGTCTAGTCAAAGACATCGGAACTGTCAAATGTTTTATTCTGTGGTGACATCAGTGACCCATAAGATAAAGGTAGTGGTCTTACACTTTACTTGAGTCTTTCAGACTGAACTCTGAGGACCTCAGGGGATCTGAAACTATGCTTGATGCTTGTGCAAGCATCAAACATAGTTTGATTGGTAGGGGTTGAGGGTAGACAGAGAATTTATGATAGAAAGGAGCTGGTGGTTTGAAGCCCAGTATCTGAGCTGTGTAGCCCTCAGTCAATCTCTACACATTCCTGAAGCACCAGTGTCTCCGTCTGTAAAGCAGGTCTTAAAACCTCCTCCTACTTCCTCCCAACAGAGTATGAGGATCAAATGATGTAATATGCAGAAAACACTTCACCATTTGCAAAAAAAAAAAAAAAAGCCAGGTATTCTTTTTCCCAGAAAAAAAATTTTTATTGCTATTTATGTTGTGGTGGTATTATATAATTCCTCACCTAGATACAAGAAGAGTTATTATTTAAAATTTTTTCATCTCCATGCTCTCTTTATGTCTAGAGCCACACAGTCCAACAATATAATGTGAGCAGTACACATATTTAAATTTTTTCTAGTAGCAACATTTTAAAAATGCAAAGAAATAAGAAAGTATATATAACAGTAATAATAAAATATTTATATAACATTCACTATTTTAAAATATATAATTTTATGATTTTTCAGTATCTTCACACAGATGTATAATGAACATCATCCTAATTTTAAAACATTTATATCATATAAAAATACTCATATTCATCAGCAGTCACTCTCATCTCTAGTTTCTGGCTACCACTGATGTATTTTCTGTTTCTGTGAATTCATCTCATCTGGAAACTCATGCAATCATTAAAATGTGACCTTTAGCATATGGCTTGTTTTCCTCAGTATAATGTTTTTGTGGTCCATCCATATCGTAATTTCATTACTTCATTCCTTTTTATGGTGAAGTAATATTTCATTTTGAGGATATCTTGTTTTTATATTCATTAGCTTGTGAAAATATAGTTCATGCTCAAATTTGTGGTTATTCTATGTGTTTACTTACAAAGTTTTGTGTCAACTTATATTTTTCATTTTTTTTCAGTATGAGTGAAATTTCAGGTAACTAACTTAATATTTTACTTAACTTTTAGCATTTTAGAAAATATCAGAACTATTTTCTAAAGTTGAATTACAATTCTAAAATATCATCAGTAATGTAGAAGAGTTCCAATTTCTCTAATATCTAACCAAGCTCATTACTATCCATCTTTTAAATTGTTTATTTTGTAAGGCCAGAGAGAGAGAGCATTCGAGCTCCTGCCTTGAATGTAGTTATTTCTGGGTTTAATCCCTGGCATTACATGTGGCACAGTAGCGCCACCAGGAAATCATTTCTATGCACCAAGCCAGGAGTAGCTTCTGAACACAGCTGGGAGTAGTCCCCCCATACCTAAATAAATAAATATTTAACATTCATTAATCTAACAGATATAAATAGTATCTCATTTTGAGTTTGACTTACATTTATGTAATAAATAATGTTGAGAATCTTAGGTACTTACTTATGAATATCTTCACTGGATACATATCTATTGAAACACTGTGACCATGAAAATTGGTTTTAATCATTGAGTTGTAAGACTGATAGCACAGTGGTAGGGCGTTCGCCTTACAAGCGGCCAACGTGGCCGACCCGAGTTCGATTCCTCCGCCCCTCTCGGAGAGCCCGGCAAGCTACTGAGAGTATTCGATATGCCAAACACAGTAACAACAAAGTCTCCAATGGAGACGTTACTGGGCCCGCTCGAGCAAATCGACGATCAACGGGAGGGCCTTTACCTTACCTTTACCTACGTGTACCTTATAAAATATATGACTTAGAAATATTTCACATTCTATTGATTTTTGCTTTTATAATGGTGTTCTTTGGCATGAGACACTTTTGTTTTTATTCTATTTTATATTTTGACCACTTCCCACTGAGCTCAAACCCAGGGTTTGCTAATGCAAAGAAAGCCTCCCTGCCTTCTAAGTCATCTCCCCAGCATGTGTTTGTTTGTTTGGGGGTGCCATCCCTGGCAATGCTCAGGGGTTCCACCCAACACAATTGTTCTCGATGGTGCTGAGGAGGACCATGCAGTTTTGGAATTGAACCCAAAACACTCTCTCCATGCAATTTAAACACTCCAGCCTCTTGGGCTATCTTTCATCTTGATTGTATCCTTTGAAATATACGTGTTTTCAATGCTCATGAGGCTTGTCTCTTTATTTTCTAGCTTGTGTTTTTGAGGTATGTCTAAGAAACCATTGCTTAGTCCAGACTAATTTTGCCTCCTGCCCACTTTTCAGAGAAGTAATTATTGTTACCTCCTAGAAATTTATCTTCCTTAAGTGATAGATAAAGAAAGTGTCACAACAGTTGCACCCAAAGCTATACCATCCCCCTTGTATTTTTCAGTGTCCCCTAGATGTTAGTATTGCCCACTTTGGGAAAGACTGAGTCTGAGTCAAGAAGACTTATTATCTTTTCTTTGAAGACGTATATGTTTTTTAATTTTTTATTTTATTGAATCACCATGAGATAGGGCATTACAAAGCTGTTCATGATTAGGTTTCATTCATACAATGTTCCAACACCCATCCCTCCACCAGTGTAATTTACCAACACCAATGTCCCTCCCCAGTTTCCCTCCCACCCCCCTGAGCCATCCCCCACCCCACCCCCTGCCTCTGTGGCAGGCACCTCTCTTCTCTCTCTCTCTCTCTCTCTCTCTCTCTCTCTCTGATCTCTCTCTCTCTCTCTCTCTCTCTCTGGACTTATATTTTTGGGTCTTACATTTTGGACTCAATCACTTTGAGCAAATGGTATACAAAAAATTTGATGTCTAATATTATTATTTTTGCTTGTTTTTTATTTGGGACCACACCCAACAGTGCTCAAGATTCATTCCTGGCTCTGCATTTAGGGATCCCTCCTGATAGGGCCTGGAATCCTTACTGTATATGGTGTTGTAGATCAAACCTACCTCAGGCAAGTGTGAGGAATGTGCCTTACCTGCTGTGCTACATCTCTGGCCCTGCTATTCTTTTTCATGTGGAAATTAAGTATGTTAGCCCAGCATCATTTATTGAAAAAGCTACTCTTCTCCTCATATTAAACTGTCATTGCTTTTTTACATTGCAAAAATAAATTGTTGATGATTTTTTTACATTGCCATAAAAAATAAATTGACGATAAATGTAAGGAATTCTCTAAATTTTCACTTCTTTGCTCTGTATCCTTATACCAATAACACACTGTTTTGTGCAGCTTAATAGTAAGGTTTAAAAACAGGTAATGTGAGTCCTCCAATTTAGTTTTTTTCAAACTCTTTTTGCTATTCTGTATCCCTTAAATTTCAGCTTATTAATTTCTGCAAGGAATCCAACTGTGATTTTTATAAGGATTGAAAATAACCTGTAGGAAAGTAGATAAAGGACCAAACACAATAACCTCTCAGTGTCCATATTGCAAACCATAATGCCCAAAAGCAGAGAGTATGGGGAATATTGTCTGCTATGGAGGCAGGGGGAGGGTGGGAAAGGGGGGGGGCATACCGAGGATATTGGTGGTGGGGAATGTGCACTGGTGGAGGGATGAGTGTTTAATCATTGTGTATTGTAACCCAAACATGAAAGCTTGTAGCTATCTCATGGTGATTCAATAAAAAAAAAAAAATTTTTTAAAAAAAGAAAGAAAAGAAAAGAACCTGTAGAACAATTTGGGGTGTGTTGCCATTGCTATCTTAACAGTATTAAGCTTTCTAGAGCTGGAAAGATAGTACAATGAGTAGGGTGTTTGCCTTATAAGTGACTCACCCAGTTTCTATCTCTGGCACCTCATCTAGTCCCCTAATACCTGTCAAGAGTAATTTATGAGTGCAGAGCCTGGAGTAAGCCCTGAGTACAATCAGGTGTAGTCAAAAAAAAAAAAAACCAACAACAAGCAATAAAACCCCACAAAACATTACAAATATATTCTTTTCTAATCTATGATCATGAAATATATTTTCACTTCTTTTAAACTTGCTTTGTAGTTCTCAGGATCGAAGTCATACACTTTTGTTAACTTTATTCTAAAGTATTTTATTCTTTCTTTATAGAATTGTAAATGGAATTGCTTTAATTTCATTTACAGATTGCTGACTGGTAGTGTATAGAAATATAATTGAAGGCTAGTTGTTTGTCTTCTATGCTAAATTCACTTGTTTTTTTATTGGAGGAAACCAATAGTTTCCTCCAATTCTACTTAGGACTTTTCTATATACAAGATCATGTAATATGAATAGTTTCCTGATCTAAATTTCCTTTAATAGGGGATCTTTCAGAGGTTTGGCATCTTGAGGACCACTCCTGGCAACACCTGACCTGGTGATATGGGGCTGAAGGTTTGATGCCAGCTCCCAGCAAAGTGCTGCTGCTCATCAGCCCAGTGGGCAGGAGCAGCAGGGCCACATCTGGAAGTTCTAGGGGGCAATTGGTACTGGGGACCCAATTTAAGTCCTGGTGCAATGAAAGCATGTGTTCTGTCTCTGAGCTATCTCCTTTGTTTGAATGATTCGTAATTCCTTTTCTTGATTAATTAGCCTAGTTAGACTATGGGCTGGAGCAATAGCACAAGGGTAGGGCGTTTGCCTTGCACGTGGCTGGCAGGGGTTCGATTCCTCTGCCCCTCTCAGAGAGCCTGGCAAGGTCCCGAAAGAGTATCCCGCCTGCTCAGCAAAGCCTGGCAAGCTACCCGTGATGTATTCGATATGCCAAAAACAATAACAACAAGTCTCACAATGGGGACATTATTGGTGCCCGCTCAAGCAAATCGATGAACAAGGGGAGGACAGTGTGACAGTGTGGTGCTACAGTTAGAATATAAAATAAAATATTTAACAAAGTGGCATTCTTGATTTGTTCCTTCCACATTTCACTGCATAACCATCACAGACTTTATCTTTTTTTTTTTCACAAAAAAGTGGGGTACAAATGTTATATGGTACTTTTTACAAAACTTCTGGCATGGACCAAAGAGATAGTACAGTGCATAGAGGTGCTTGCCTTGCATGCGGCCGATCCAGGTTCATTTCTGAACATCCCCTATGCTCTCCTTAGCACTTCTGGGAGTAATTCCTGAGTGCAGAGCAAGGAGTAAATCCTGAGCATCACTGGGTGTAGCACCCCCCCCCCCCCCACACACACACATACACACAAATTGTGCTGGTATTACTATAAAGATGTTTGTGATAATTCTGTGGTGAAACATGGTAACTGGGTGGGGGAGAGGGTCTCCAGTGGTGCTACAGTACCAGAGAAACCCAAGCCATCCCCCCAAGGTGCCAGGATCTTGAAGGTTTTACATTGTCATGCTCTGCTCAAGAGACCATGTGATGCCAAGAATTAAAGTAAGATCTAACCCTCTTGTGACATCTTTGTCTGATTTTGGTATCAAGATAAGATTGGCTTCATTAAACAAAAAGCAGTTTTTCTCTTTTTATAAAGACTTTGTTAAAGATTAGTGTTAATTCTTTAAAGGTTTAATAGAATTCACCATTGAAACCATAAGGACCTAGACGTATCTTTATGGAAATATTTTTATACTAGTTTGGTCTCTTTGTTTGTTCTAGGTGCATTCAGGTTTCCTGTTTATTCTTGCACCCATTTTTAGTAGTTTGTATCTTTCTAGAATTTTGCTCACTTTATCTAGGTTTTCTAATTTGCCGGCATACTTTTTTTTATAGTGGTGCTTTATAATCATTTTTTACTTCTATAAGACTCATAGACATGTCTGCCCTCTTCATGCCTGATTTCATAAATTTGATTCTTCTTTTGCTCAACATAGATAAAGATTTGTCAATATATTGATCTTTAGTTTCATTGGCTGTTTCTCATATTTTCCCATTCTCCATTTCTTTTCTTTCTGCTCTAATCTTAAATTTGCTTTCCATTTCCATTTGCTTGCTTTGAGCTTAATTTATTCTTCTTGGAACAGGAGTGATAGTACAGCAAGTAGGGTGTTTGCCTTGCACGCGACCAACCCAAGTTCGACCCTGGCATCTTATATGGTCCCCCGAGAACTGCTCAGTGCAATTCCTGAGTACAGAGCCAGGAGTAACCCCTGAGCATTGCTGGGTATGACCCAAAAAGCCAAAAAAATTTCTCTTCTTTTCCTAATTTTGTTTTTTTGCATCCAAAAGCCCACGCAGGCATTTATTTATTTTTTATAATTTCTTAAGGGTGAATGTTAATTTAAGACTTTTCTTCTTTATGTGCTTTCAACTACAAATTTCTTTTCTATTTTAGAATCATCATCTGAGTTTTGGTATGTTATATTCTCATTTTAATTATCAATTAATAAGATGAAAATTTCACTAATATCAATTAGAAAGTATACTTTCTAAACCTAATTTTGGGATATTTTTATTTTGTTTCTCTTTTGGAGCTACATTCAATGATTCTTAGAGAATTGCTATGCCTGACATGATGATTAGGAGCTTCTCCCTAGCAGTGCTCACCGGACCAGGCATCCTGGGGCATGAACCCAGGACTTCCACGTGCAAAGCATGTACTCCAGTCCTTTGAGCCATCTCACTAGCCCCTTAAAACTTAAATTTAACATAAAATTTTACTAAATATGCCAAAAATAATTAAATGGATTATCAATATATGACTACTGATGAAATATTTTTCATATTTTCCAAGTAAATTTTTTGAAGTCAAGTGTATAGCTTACATTTGTAGCAGATCTCAATTCAGACACTAAATTTTCATCATAAATTTTCATCAGAACTCATATTTCATGAATTATTATTCTTATATTTCATGAAATTTATTTCAAAAAGTTAATTCACATACTGAAGTTGTTCTAAAATGCTTCAAACTCTTCTGATAACTAGTGTCAGTTTTAAATTTAAATCAATTAAATTTTAATGTAAAATGCAATTCCTCAGTCAGATTCGCCATTTTTCAAATGCCTAATAGCTACATGTGGCTGTGGATCTTGTATCGGACAGTGCAGCTCTAGAACTCTTTCCATGTTTTAATCTATATAATAGCCCTAGGATGTAGGTATTACTATTCTTCCTTTTAAAAATGGTAAGGCAGGGGCTGGAGCAATAGCACAGTGGGTAGGGCCTTGCACGCCGTCCACCCAAGGTTCGATTCCCAGCATCCCATATGATCCCGCAAGCACCGTCAGGAGTAATTTCTACATGCATGAGCTAGGAGCAACCCCTGTGAATTGCCGGTGTGACCCAAAAAGCAAATAACAAACAAACAAAAACAAAAACAAATGGTAAGGCAGAAGGACCTAAAGTAACACAAATTCTGCTCCTGACTTGGAAAACGGACCTTGCAAGGGATTGTCACCTGCTCACTGCTCAAGTTTCATAGGGGATGCCCAAAGGCTATTCCTTTGCCAGAATTACAAATTAGAATCCTAACCTAACCCAGGAGGCTTAGTGTTAGTTCTAATGAGCAAGAGAAGACTGAGACCAAAACTGCAGGCCAACACTCCACCATTTTTCTAAGTATCCCAACCTTTCTGTCTGATGTCAATCAAGAAAACACTCAGAAGGAACAATGCATATCTAACGCAAGAAGTTCATCCTCCCCACTTGCCATAACTGTGGAGCCACTGAAATTCTTGAAAGAGATAAGTATAAATGGCCCCCTTGTGACCCGGCAGTGTGGAAAAGCATACAGAGAGTCATTATGTAGCATACACTTACTACCTGTCAGGCACTGTACTTGGTGGGTGGCACTCCTAGGACAATCCTAGTGGACAAAATAAAGTGTAATGCTTTCATTCAATGGAATATCACAGATCCCTTAAAGAGAATGAGAAAAAACATGTTTTTAGAGCATAGTTTACTGAAAAAGTAAGTTTAAAATAGCTGTGTATGAATGATTCTCTTTGTGTGTGACTATGTATTATGCTAAACTGCTAATAGAGAAAGTCTTCTCTCAGCCATAATCTCTCGTCAGAGATTATATGGGAAAATGTTCACTGTGAATTTTGTATTTTTCTATACTGTATATATTTTGCTACCACAATTCTGTTTTGTGGTAATAAAATGTTTCTATTCTAACTTTTAATTAATATAAAGGATACTTTAAGCAAAAAGTCATAATATTGTATTTAAATAACACTTACAGAGGTATATAATCCATATTTTTTACAGAGAGAAGAACTGAGGTCCAGAGAGACAATAATACTTACCCACCCCATATTCTAGAATTTAAAAATAGCAGGTAGTCAGGGAGGCAGGATTGTTGACAGGGCTCTACAACAGTGTTTCCCACCTTTTTCTGACCATGGCCCCCTTTTTCCCTTTATCCTCCCCTGTCCTACTGGTTGATCCCCAGTAGGACTGCCATGGTCCCCATTTACATGATTTTCACTTGTGGTTCTCTTGGAATATCCTGTTGAAAAACACTAAAAATACTTCAGCTCCAGAAGAGCACAAGCTCAAGAACCCAGAGGTCCACCCGCCAAAAGGAGGAGAGACTGACCTTGAGATCCAGGTGCAGGATATAGTGCTGATGCAGGTAATGCACACCCTCGCAGATCTGCTTGGTGAACAAGATCACATCCATCTCAGTCAGGTGGTACTTCTCATTTGTGATTCGGTCAAAGAGTTCACCCCCATCCACGCTGCCAGGGTAAAGGGAAAGGCATGCACTGAACTGAGCATGATTGTCAGAGGACTTGTCCACTCTTAACAGGGGCAGAGGAGCCCAACACAGGTCACTACCATCTAATTTTTTTATTTATTTTATTTATTTTTTTTTGCTTTTTGGGTCACACCCAGCGATGTACAGGGGTTATTCCTGGCTCTGTACTCAGGAATTACTCCTGGCTCTGCACTCAGGAATTACCCCTGGCTCTGCACTCAGGAATTACCCCGGGTGGTGCTCAGGGGACCATATGGGATGCTGGGAATTGAACCCAGGTCGGCTGCGTGCAAGGCAAACGTCCTACCCACTGTGCTATTGCTCCAGCCCCTGCCATCGAATTTGTATGGGAAACTTTCCCATATCAGAATGTGGGTGATAACCAGTAAATGATGCACCAAATGGAAGTCTGTGGATTTTCTTCAGTGCTGATAATTAAGGCTCATTCTGGATAACCTAGGCAAAGGTTATAAACTCATTTGTTAAAAAACACCAAATAGCAAGAAACCTAACTGGAAAAATTAGACCAGATGAAAGACAAACATTTTCATAAAACACACTGACTTAGTCTATCTTTTGTACTTTCACTTTTGGTATATACTATGACAAACATTCCACTCTTCTCAGTCCTGTCAGAAGGAAAATAACACATAAACACACACACACACACACACACACACAACACATACACACAATCTAATTGCCACTGAAACCTCAGCCTCAGTGTCAATAATATTTAGGAGTGAAGGTACCATGGCAAATGGGAGACTGGTTTCCCCTGTACAAAAGTCAGCCACTACAAACTCCTGGACAGCAAATCCAGTTGGAAATGCAGATTCAGCATTGCTAGATAGTCATGAAAAGCCAAATATCTATAAATTTTTGGCAAGCTAGAAACTGTGGCCCCAGTAAGACAGATCTATCTGACATTGACAAGTTTGGGGTTAAAAAAAAACACACATCTTTAATTGATTCACATTCTATTTTACAGTAACTTCTTTGCTTAGATGCAGCAAATAAATGGTAATCATTTTTGCAGGAAGAAAACTAAACAGACAAAACTGAAGAGCAAACAGACATGCACACACATGTGCACTCACACACACACAACCCTTCTTCCTTGTTATCTTATTAGTTCAAAACAGTCAGGAGAGTCTAAGAATTTAAGACTTGTTACAAGTTATATTTTAGGAAAATATAACAGAAAACCAACATCATTCTACAGTCTCCTGTGTCTCCTCAAGGTCCCCATGCTATTGGTTCTAAAATCCAACTCCTCTTTTTTAAAAATAGGGAGCAATGAAATTTAAAGCCCCACCTTATCTTTTATAAATATCCCTGAAAAAAAGTGTGTGCAGGGATACATGAAGATATATTTGAGCATTTTTTTCCCTTTATTGCATTCTGGATGGCAATGAAGATTTTTCCTTCTTGGAAGAGCTTGATGAGACAATATTTGCTTTCTGATACAGTTGGCCCTTGTTCAGCTTTAGCCTCAAATTTTCTAATTTCCAGTTGTTAATAAGAACACCAAATTGTGAAAAATTATGTAGTCCAAATTACACACATCTGCAGGTCAAATAAGCCTTATTGACCACTGACTTGTGACAAATTATTTTGTCCTTCATGTTCTGCATTGGACAGAGACCAGGCAGTCGAACCAGCACAAAGCGGGTAATGAGATAGACATGGTTTTCTCAAAGAGGAGGAAAGCAGAGTTTGCTCTATCACAAAGTAGAGTTGTGATAATCACAACTTTAAGCCCCAGCCCATAGCCCAATCCCACTCTTGGACACTCACTACTCCATGATGAGGGTAAAGCTGTTCTTGCTCTCAAAGGCATCATAGAGCTGGATCAGGTTCACGTGACTGAGCTGGTTCATGATATTGATCTCATTCTTCACATCCTCCTTACAGAATCAAAGGAGAGAATAGTTTCTGAGAAACAAATGGGTAGGGAAGAGGAGCTAGCTTGTCCTTCCCAAGACAACACAACAACACACACACACACACACACACAACACCACCACCACCACCACCACCATATATCTTTAATTTTGGCTCTCACACAAGGTGTCCTTGACTTACCACCCAAACCTTATTCTTAACAGATGAACCCTTGCTAGCACTCACCCATTCTACAAATAGAAAACCTAAGGCCCAGAAAGGAAACCCAGAGCTCTTAGAGGTTTATGGGTTTGCTGCTGACTGGAATGTGGGAATCATGGGAAAGAGACAGGAAAAGGGGTGGCCAGGTTTTCTACTGAGGCAGTTAGCGGGACCTGGGACTGTGTGAAGTCTTGGTTCTGGGCAGAGGGTGTGAAGGTAGTGAGGAGTCCCAAGCTTCGTGAGAGGTGCTAGATAGCTCTGGGCAGATTCCTCACCCTCTCCTTGGCACTCTTCACTTTGATGATCTTGGCTGCCAACGAGAGGCCGGTGGACTTCTCTGTGCACTTGTGTACCTGGCCAAACCGCCCCCTGCAGAGACATGTTGACACATAAGACTGAGAGTCCAAGAGGTTCACCCCACACATAGTGGGCTGTTCTATACCTTAGTATTACTGATCTTACCCCTCCTTCACACATATACCATGAGGAGTACCCTGCACCCCACATGTGTGTAGCTCCAATAATTAATGTAACCCCACTTGAGTTATTCGGACTCCACACAAATGACTTGAACTCCAATACTATGTGTGACTCTGTGGTGTATTCACCCTAGAGGATGTCCCATTACATCATACCCCCTGGTTGTTCTGCACCCTAGAGGCTCTCCTCACCCTATCGTCATATGCTCATAGCACCTCCTATATAGTATGACACCTTCTGGATCTATAGATCTCACCATATCACGTGGGCTCTCCTGAACTCTAGGTTATTGTTTCTTCACCCCACTTTGCGAGCTATATACTCATTCTCACACTATGGAATATCCTGCTCCCATCTCAGCTCCAGCCCCCAATTCCTGGAAAACTTCCAGTAGCACCTCACTCAGACTCTGGGTCGCTGTCCAATTTTTCTGTACCTTCTAATGAGCAAAGCAGAAGTCTTACATACCCTCCCAAGACTTCGTGCTGGCATATTGTGTAACTTATCGAGGTCGAGGTCTCCTTGACATTCACCATCCGGTGTTCAAAAGGAGCTGGTGGGGCTGGACTATCATCTGTTCAGAAAACAAGAGTATGAGCCTCCAACACCCCTAAACCACATATCACAACCTCCCTTAACCCCTTAACTTCATTTGATTCAAGTAACAAGCCATTTGTCCTCTTCAAAAATCGTCTCATTCAAGTCACCCATTTATTAGAGGAGGAAGCTAAGTCTGAGGAGAGAAAGTAACTGGCCCATAATCACTCAGTAAACCAGCAACCAATGGGATTCCAGCACCTACATCAATGTTTATTGTACAATGGAGACGCTCTTATCTAGTCTGTTCATTGAGAGAAGGATCAGGGTGAATGAGCACAGCCCTCAGGAGATAGAAGGCACGTGAGCAGGAAAGCAGAGTGGGACTATGTTAAAGGCCCAGGCAGGGTTATGGAAGATGCTGGCCCTAGCAGGTTAATTCCTAAAGTGTGGGGTAGGGTATAAGCAGGCCAGTGGTGGGTTTGGAGGGGAACTAGAGGACAGCAGTGCTCGGAAAGTTAAAGAGTAGTTTAGGATTTTATGGGCCATAGAGAACCACCAGGAGTGACCCATGTACAAAAAGCCAGGATAAGTCCCTGAGCACTTTTGCATGTGTGCCCCACCTCCCACCTCAAACTTAGGATAAAACCTTATCTTTCATAAGTGATGGGAACCAAGAAATGTTGCGTAAAGTAAATAAAGGAATAAAACAGAATAAACACCAGATACAGTGGCAAAAACTGGTTTGGGTGTAAAAGGCTGGAAGACACTGTGGCAGGAAGTCAGCAATTTGTTTTTCCTTTTCTGTGGAGCACATGAAGGCAGTTAGAAAGTTCCTCAGATAACTCCAAAACCTTTGAAACCATGGACTATCAGCACTGGAAATCCTGCTATTTTCTCTTGTTTTAATACATGAAATAATAATACTCGTCATAAACCTACCTGACTGCTCCCAAAGTAAAAATTAGAATTTCCTTTAAGAGACTATCGCTCACTCTTTCTTTCTGTTTGCAAAGGTAAGCGCTAAACCCTATATTTCAAGTGAGTAACATTTGAAAGGACTTGTTGCTTTTTCTGGATCCCTTGAAATGTTAGGAAAGTCTGGACTCTGGGTGTGTGAAACAGATTCCACACAATTGCTTATGTTCTGAATATTTGTAGTACCACATGGTTCAAACATAAGTTTCCAGTGACAGGCAGTCAGAAGCAGAGTCAGGCTTACCAGCAAAACTCTACCTTTGAATGTGGCCTTGAAACCTCCTTGTGTTTCCATTTATCCCCATTCTATAGGCCTGTGAGGTAAATACCAGCACAAATGTCTGTTGCTCAGTACAGGTTAACAGCCTTGTCAACAACCCCTTTTTCCAGGAAGGACTTTAAAGCCACAGCCTGATCTCAGACATGTTTCATAAATTACTAGATGTTGTATCCGTTTCAACCAAGCCATAAAAAGGGAGATAGAGAAATTAACTCATCAGAGCAACTGTGAATCACAGATGTAGCAAGGCAACACAGATAACAAGATGACCTGCAGAATATCTAGCCTTTCCTCAGAAATTCTGGGGCAGGCAAGAGTTCAAAGATGGCCTTCCTGCAGTCACACAGAATGAGTGCTCTGACCAAGGAGGGGATGACCCTAATGACTTAGAGGGGAAGGCATTTTGTCATAGGAATACAAAGACTTCTCCCACACCATATGGGCAGAAAGCAGGTAGCAGTCTTACCACCTTAAAAAGAAAATTTACAACCTGGATTTGATTTTTTAAAAAAAAATTGGCTTTGGGACACACCCAAGAATGCTCAAGGGTTATTCCTGGCTCTGTGTTCAAGAGTGACCACAGGTAGTGCTCAGAGGACCATATGTGGTGCTGAGATCGAACCAGAGTTGATTGCAGGCAAAACAAACATCTTATTCCCTGTACTATCTTTCCAACTCCAATAGATTTCCTTTTTCATAGGAACTTTCCTCTGCCAATCCAGAGTGCTATGATGATGACAAGCTCAGACCGACAGGTAACTCTGAGACACTGACCCAAGTGAGCTTCCATCCTTCTTGACATCTATAACCAACACAACTTCCACCTCTACATCTCTGTGCTTGTCACCAGTCCCTGGATGTACCACCATACTCTTCCCCAGGACCCCCAGTTAAGCCCTTCTGGGAGTCGACCCTCCAAACCCGCTCACTTCCGCTAATGCAGCAATGACTCCACTTACCCAGAACCACAGCTTCTGCGCTCAGGGACTTCATCCTTCCTTCTTCCCCACTGCCAACGCTCCTGGCTGCACTGTCCTTTCCGGGCTCCAGGTTTCCTGCTGCTGGGCCTTTGTCTGGTCCTAGGACTCCAGCATCGTCGCTCTTGTCCCCCCTGGTCTCACTTGGTTCCATGGTGGATCCAGCCCCGGGGCCCTGTGTCTCCTCGGCATTTGCTTCCTCATCACTGCCGGCCTTTTGCAGCAGGGACAACTTGCTGTCTTCTTTTGAGATCTGATTTCCTAACTCAGTTCCAGGGACCTGGGAGCAGTCCCTGGGTCCCTGTGGGTCCTGCTCACCTGGATAGGCAGCAGCTGGAGCCTCTTCAGGTGGTGTGGCTCTGAGATCGTCCCCTCGTGTCACAAGCAGCTCCCCTGGTATATCCGTCTCCTGCACATGGATGGAGATCCTGGGGTAGAGACAATATATCCCCGAGGGTTAAAACAAGGACTCAGGAGTCAGAACAAAAATTGGGGTTAAAGCCCACTGCTGCCCTTCATTGATCATGGTCTCCTGGACTCATTTTTCTCAGCTGTACAAAAAGGTCCCAATGGAACATTATATAACTGAAACCCAATCTTGAGCAACTTTGTAACTTTGAAACTGTGATTCAATTAAAAAAAATTTAAACTTTTAGGTCATACCCAGCGATGCTCGGGTGTTTCTCCTGGCTCTGCGCTCAGAAATTATTCCTGGTGGTGCTCAAGGGACATATGGGATGCCGGGGACCAAACCTGGGTTGGAAGCATGCCAGGCAAAGGCCCTACCTACTGTTTTAGCTCTGGCCCCAATAAAAAAATTTTTTTTAAAGATTAACCTATTACGTGACACTTCATAAGACACACCTTACTCAAACTCCAAGAGTACTGCCCCACATTTGATGGAATTCAAAGTAGGAGACAACCAACTTTAGAGGGAAATACTATATTATTTCAGTTCTGCTTTGGGGCAGGGATTGGGGTTTGGGATGGAAACACCCAACATATGGTGGTGGGAAGGTGTACTGGTGTGGGATTGGTGTTTGAATATTAAATGTAATCAAATATTGAGAACTTTTTAAAGTAAAAAAAAACTTAAATAATAAAAAAATTAAAAATAAAGATTAACCTATTATACCATATTACCTCAAGTAATAGTGAAGGCAAAAATTTTAAAATAAGATAATAAATAATCTAAAAGGCCCTTAAGATTGTGCTTGGAACCAACAGAGTCCAAGCCCAGTTTCTCTGGATCTCTGCTTAGTCAGGACCTCAGCAGAGAGAAGAGCTTCTGTGACAGATAGTGCCATCAGCTCTCACGATTCCACTGGAGAGAGTCCATAGAAGATTTGGTGGACAGAGGAGGGACTTTATTCCAAAGGCCCCTTGGACATCTACTTCTGTGCCAGGAGGATGGGGGAATGGAGAATGAATGCTTCGGCTCTTCCAAACTTTTTCTGGGGTTAGGGATGCTGATCTTGGAAGCTAATTCCTCCCCAGTCCCAGACTTTCCATTTTTGGTTTTGTTTTTTTTTTCTTTTTGGGTCACACCCGGCAATGCACAGGGGTTGCTTCTGGCTTTGCACTCACGAATTACTCCTGGCGGTGCTCAGAGGACCATATGGGATGCTGGGAATCGAACCTGGGTCAGTCGCATGCAAGGCAAACTCCCTACCCGTGGTACTATCACTCCAGCCCCCCGATTTTCAGAGTTTCCCTCACTCTTGACTGTTCCTTACAACTTTATGTGTTGGGGGCATTGAGGTGGGAGTGTCAGGCATGAATTGAGTTTTCAGAAGGAGCAAGGCAGCGTCCACTCTGTCACTGCTTTGCCAGGATGACACTGGTATGCTGGATAAATCAGGCATGGCTCCCTCTTTTGGCCAAGGGTTGGTAATGAACAGAGATGTGCTGGAGAAAAGCACAAAAGGAAGAGGGCTCCAAGGGTAAGGCCAAAAATGGTGCTGCCACTGTGCAAAACAGAAGCGTGGCTCCTCAAAAAAATCTAAAATAAAACTTTCATTTCATCGAGCAATCCCACTTCTCGAAATTCATCCAAAAGGACTGGAAGTCCTATGAAGAGGTATTCATACACCCAGGTTGACAGCAGCAGCACTTAGAGCAGCCGGAGGTAGAAGCAACCTAAGTGTGCACTGATGAATGAGTAGATTAAAAAACAAAAAAAACTATGATAGGAGACAAGGTTCCAAAGCCTGGAGTGCATTCAGGAGGCGCAGGTTCAATCCTTGGCACTATATGATCTCTCAAGAACTGCTGAGAGTAGCTCCCAAGCACTCTGGGGCATGACCCCAAAACAAAGTATGTATGGATGCAGATAGGTGATACAGGTGGAGATGGAGAGAGATGGAGATATAATCTATACTCACAGTGGGATATTATTTAGCTATTAAAGGGAATAAAAGTCTGACATATGCGACAATATGTTTGAGCCTTAGGATTTTTTTGCTTAAGTGAAATAAATCAGACTCAGAAAGACTCACACTGTATGGTTCTGTTTCTATGAGGTACCTCAATTATTTAAATCTCTGTCATAGAGAATGAAAGTAGAAGAGCAGTCACCATGGGCTGATCTTATCATGGGAATAGTTATGTTATTTCTTATCACAATAGGTTAAAAACTAGGGGTTCTCTGAGAACAGAGTCTGTTGAGCAGAGTTTAGGATACAGGGGAGAAGCACCATACCCTTTGAGAGACTCCCTAAAAGCAATATACTTCAGGTAGTTCTGAAGGATGCAGCGGCCTGTACACCAAGAACCCTTGAGTGGGAGGCAACAGAACTACCTCAACACTGTGCCTGAAAGTGAATTCAGTTGGATGATAAGGCAGGCACGGAAGTGTGGTGCTCAAGCCTGGCTCAGGCCTCCTCAGACAGGGGAACAAAGAGGCTGTAGGAAGCCAGTTGCTGGAAGAGTATTCTGCTAAGAAGGCCAAGTCACTGCACTGCCATTTGAGCTCACACATAAGGACCTGCAGGCATGATCATCAGTCCCAGGCCAGTGCCCCCTGAAGGCCTTCTGCTCCTGACCAGCATGCAACACAGCCACTGCCAAAGACTCCTCTGTGACAGTGTTCTGTCCCACCACATCTAACTGGGCTTCAAGACAGTTAATTTGCACAGACGGCGATGCTGGAGTCACCTCCCTCCCTCACATATCATCATCTGCCAGCTGAAATCACCCCAGGGGTGATTGCCCCAACTTCTGAGCTCTGTGGCTGTACCTAAAATCTAGCTCAAGGCTGAAACAAGATAGAAAGCATTCCACCTTATGCAGAATCTTTTTGAAGCCCCTAACAAAGTTCATGGAAAGTTCACCCCCTCCCCAGATTCCACATTTAGCGCCTTGGCTGGAATTCAGGGATCCTAGCCAGAAATCCCGCCCTCTGGCTGATTAGGTCTCCTGGGGACGCCCATTTCCTTCAAAACAAAGACAGGCAGAAAATGTGCGTTTCTCTGCCAGTGTCCAGACATACACACCAGCATGAAGCCCCCCTCCATGGTCCAAGATTTGGGGTTTAGGTTACAGGGGAGGAGTACCATACCCTTTGAGAGACTTCCTAAAAGCAGTATACTTCATGAGAAGCCCTAAAAGCAGTAGGGACCAGGATGAGCTACTTGGAATTAGGACTGACAATCAGTCCTCTGCTTTCTGTATGGTGTCTAAGAGAGAAAGGCCTAAGGCTGATTCCCAAACTAGAAGTCATAATTCTCCTTCAGGACTCTTGATCACAGTCCTCCTAAAAGCCCCTGCACTGACTCAGCCTTCACCAACTTCTAAGAACACATCCTCCTCACCAGTATTTAGGCCTAAATGAAATGTCCATCAGATAGAGCAAGATGATACAGGGATGAAGGGCAGATTCTGGAGGCCAATCACCTGAATTCAGATTCCAACTCCGTGACTCCCTGGCTGTGTGGTCCTGAAACCTGTTTCCTCATCAATAAAATAGGATGCCAACCACACTCACTTTAGGATGTTCTAAAAATAAAACGAGAGGATGTCTGTGAAACCCTTGGCCAGTACCTGGTGGGAGTGGGGGGAGTTTCAGTGAACCCCATCCTTTAGTTATTATTTATTGTTCTAAGAGATAATAGTTCTTCTTCCACTCCACATTAGAATCATCAAAGATGCTTAACAAAGAAGGGGGGGGGGCTGAAGCAATAGTAGGAAGGTCTTTTGCCTTACATGTGGCCGACCCAGATTCGATTCCCAACACCCCATATGGTCCCCCGAGCACTGCCAGGAGTGATTCTTGAGTGCAGAGCCAGGAGTAACCCCTGAGCATCGCCAGGTGTGAACCCCCCCCCAAAAAAAGAAAAGACAAAAGAAAAGAAAAGAAAAGAAAAGAAAAGAAAAGAAAAGAAAAGAAAAGAAAGGGGAAGAGCAATGCCTGAGTCTCACTGTAGACTAAATAAACTAGAATATCTGGACATTGGTAAATTTTTTAAACTCCATATAATTCTTTGGGGAAGCAAGTCAGAAGCAAGGATAAAAGCAGGCGTAGGTTTTCTCCTGTCTTTTCCTTGGGGCCAACCAGCAGAGCAAAGTGATCACTCAACCTGCTATAGGTTACAGCTCATTCTGCCCCCTTGCTGCACTTACCGTGGGCCCAGTTCTCCACTGTCAGCTGCCTTGACCATGGCTGATGACTCTGATGTCAGTCCCATGATGTTCTCTGAGGATTGAGGGTCAGGCCTGTCGGACAGTGTTCCTTGTTCTGTAGCCAGTGCAGCCTCCTGGTGAGTGGAAGACTCCTGGCCCCCGTCAGGTGCCTCAGACGATGCAGGGTCATTCCCAGGTTTCTCACTGGATGCCCCAGAAGCGTTGGCTTCCACCTCTATGGGCAGCAGCAGGTGGTCAGGGGGCAGCTGGGCTGGACCAGGAACTCCAGCCCCCTGCTCTGTGGGGCCCTCTGGCTGGGCGAGGAGGTCAAATCCCATCCCTGAAGTGACAGGGCTCAGCCTCTCCACCGTCCCCTCTGCCAGATCTACTGTCTGGCTCTCTACAAGAAAGTAGAAGAGTGAAAACACACCCCACTTGGGAGGGATCATTCCAAAGAGGTGAGGAGTGGAGCCATTCAGTGCATCAGTGCAGCAAACACTAAATGACCATCAGGAGGAGAAGGCCTGGGTCCCACCAGGCAAGCTGCACAGACATGGCAAAGGAGGCAGGATGCTTCTGAGATGCGGGATGCTGTCAGAATCAGTGACATAGACCTGAGTGGATGGTAGGCGTCTGCTTATCTGAGGTGTGTGTGTGTGTGTGTGTGTGTGTGTGTGTGTGTGTGTGTGTGTGTGTACAATTTACAGACTTTTAAAAGATATGAACCTTGAGACAGAAAATACAATATTCCATAGAAACATATGGGAAGGGAAAATAAAAGAGGATGCTAGAAAGTGTATTTCCGGGGCCAGAGTGATAGTTCAGTGGGGAGGGCATTTACCTTACACACAGAGGACTCAACTTCAATCCCCCAAGCACTGCCAGGAGTCTTTCCTGAGTGCAGAGACAAGAGTACCCTTTACCCCTTGAGAATCGCTAGGCATAACCCAAAAGGGCAAAGGTAAAAGGTAAAGGTAAAGGCCCTCCCGTTGATCATCGATTTGCTCGAGCGGGCCCAGTAACGTCTCCATTAGAGACTTTGTTGTTACTGTGTATCCTTTACCCCTTGAGAATCGCTAGGCATAACCCAAAAGGGCAAAAAAATAAAAATGAAAAAGAAAGTATATCTTGTTCTGTTAATATGACTGAAACCACATAAAAAGTATGCAAAAATATTTTTAAATAAACTTTAAAATTTATTTTTAAAATACACAGCAAAGTGAATTCAATTTAGCTAAGCAATAAGTTGGAAGCATCGCCTACAGACACAAGAATCATTCCAAGTAAATTGAGACATATCAAATGACAGTTCAAATCTTCATGTATATACTAGATCCATGTATAGAAAGAACAATACAAACCAGGAAGAGTACAGCTTCAATAGTTTTCTAGTAATCACATTTTTGTTGTTGGTGGTGGTATTTACATTCTTGAGCTGTTAAGTGTGAGTTGTGAGATAAAGTAAATAAGCTTCCAACTCACCTTCCCAAGGTTCCCTGATCTCAGCTTGCACACCTCTATTGCTCAGCACATGCGTGGGTTTTGCTCCTTTCTCTTCCACTCTCTCTTTATTCTGAAACAGAAGGTTCCCCCAAATGATTAGTGTCATCTACATCATTCTTCAGGCACAAATATTTGTTGAGCACCGACCATGTGCTTGAACTGAAAATACTTACTTTACTCCACCAGGTCTCACAGTGGCATTAAAGGGTAAATACTATTGGTGTCATTTTAGAAATAAGAAAACTAAAATTTTCTCTAAGTCACCAAGCACTTTTTAAAGTGTTGCCACTGTATTGTTGGTGGGACTACACCCAGCTCTGAGAGGGGCATCAATGGAGATAGGACTTTTAAAACACTTAGACCTTGGGACCAGAGTGATCGTACAGCGAGTAAGGCTCTTGTCTTGAACACAGTCAGCCCAAGTTTGATCCCTGGCATTTCATATGATCCCCTGAGCCCACCAAGAGTGATCTGTGTGTGGCCCAAGAAACAACAACAACAACAAAATTAAACAAGAGGTGAAACTTAGATACAATCTTCAAAGGTCAAGTTCAGAGTGATCACTCCTGGCTTCTAGTGTGTTGATTTGGGTTGCATTCTGAAGTTAAACAAACCCATGATTGGGGAATAGCAGCTACAAACAATTTACTGTGTCTCCCTGGGGGTCTGGTGCTGGATCCCAAAGTACAGCCTTCACGGTGCTACCATGCAGACAGGAGTATTGTCTCTCAAAACTCCTACTAAACTGGACTTGCTGGGTTTAAAGTGTCTGGCCAGGGGCTGGAGTGATAGTATAGTGGGTAGGGCATTTGCCTTGCACGCGGTTGACCCGGGTTTGGTCCCTGCATCCCATGTGGTCTCCCAGCACTGCCAGGAGTGATTTCTGAGTGCCTGAGTGCAAAGCCAGGAATAACCGGAGCATCACCAGGTGTGATCCAAAAAGCAAAAAAATAATTAAATAAATAAATAAAATAAAATAAAAGCATAAGGTGTCTAAGGTAAAGGTAAAGGCCCTCCCGTTGATCGTCGATTTGCTCGAGCGGGCCCAGTAACGTCTCCATTGGAGACTTTGTTGTTACTGTGTCTGGCATATCGAATACTCTCGGTAGCTTGCCGGGCTCTCCGAGAGGGGCGGAGGAATCGAACTCGGGTCGGCCATGTTGGCCGCGTGTAAGGCTGGAGCGATAGCACAGCGGGTAGGGCGTTCGCCTTACACGCGGCCAACATGGCCGACCCGAGTTCGATTCCTCCGCCCCTCTCGGAGAGCCCGGCAAGCTACCGAGAGTATTCGATATGCCAGACACAGTAACAACAAAGTCTCCAATGGAGACGTTACTGGGCCCGCTCAAGCAAATCGACGATCAACGGGAGGGCCTTTTTTTAAGGTGTCTAACCATTGTTCTCCTTCCCACCTCACCCTTACCCACAACACACATACACACACAATGTTAGCACTTGGCCAAGATACTTGGTTCATGAAGTGGGGAGAATAGTATTATCTGCCTTGCCACTCATGGGAGGATTGGGGGAGTAGCTCTGGTGATTGATTAGTCCTGCCTGGGTCGGTGTCAGTGTCCCAGAGTCAACTGTCACAGTGTGGTCCAGAGAAGCTCTCAGCAGCTATTCCTTAGCTTCAAGGTCAACAACAGAGCAGAGGCTCAGATCACTTCCTCTAGGTGCAATCAGAGTCCCTAAGTGCAAATATTTTTAGATGGTCTGAACTCTCTGGGTCCCCCTGGTGCTTCTGGGGGACGGTTCAGCCTTTGACTGAGGTCCTTCCCCTGTGACTCCTCTTGGCACTTGTTGCAGCAGCAAATTCTTCTCACAGCTATGACATGGTTTGAACTGTTAGGCCCAAAGCACTCTCCACTGCATTGGTCAAGATGGCTTTTCTTGCCTTGACCACAGAGACTCCTAATTTGGGAACCAAGCCACCAAAAGGAACTTGCACAACAATTTTCAAATCTTTAATTTGTCATCAACTTTTTTTTTTTTTTGCTTTTTGGGTCACACCTGGCGTTGCACAGGGGTTACTCCTGGCTCTGCACTGAGGAGTTACTCCTGGCGGTGCTCAGGGGACCATATGGGATGCTGGGAATCGAACCTGGGTCAGCAAGGCAAACGCCCTACCTGCTGTGCTATCTCTCCAGCTGAGACCAAACTCGAGCCAGCGGTAAGCAAGGCAAGTGCCCTACCTGTTGTACCATCACTCTGGCTCAGTAAAATGCTTTTCTGTTTTGATATTTTTATTGTGGTGATGCATACATTTGTTGAACAGTATACTTAAAATGCACACATTGTATATCGTTTCGCGCATGTACTTTACTCGTAAATTTGATTAAGAAAAGGTTCTAGTTTCTTAGCTTTTCCTTTTTGCTTCTTTGCTAGGGCCTCCTAAGCACTCCTCAGGGGCCAGGGGCCCAGTCCAGGCAATACAGTTCAATGCGAGGTGCTTGGGGACTACCAGGGCCATTCCCGGTGGTCTTCAGAAGACTTCACTGGGGAGCTATGTGGTGCTGTGGTCCCACTGCCGAGCCATCTCCCCTGCCTCTCAGCTTTCTTGAAAAGAAGAATCTAAAGATCTGGTATTTGCAGGCATAGAGCAGGGGGAAATGGCTGGAGCATTTCTCTGATCTGGCCTTGCCTCTCTCAGATGTCTCCCAGTTCTATCCCCTGCATCCCATATGGTTCCCTGAGTACTGTCAGGAGTAATTCCTGAGTGTGCTCATAGCCCACTTAATCACTGCAAACCTCCCCCAAATGACCAAAGCAGATAGAGAGAAAACCAGTAGATCCCCCTCTTGAGGCTGCCACCTCTTCCCATTTCACATAAGTCATCTGCAACAACTGAGTAAGAGGCTTTGTTGGCTAAAATGAGGACAACAAACATTTTCATATATTATTGGGGAATATTCGAGCATCACTTTGGCATTATCCACAGAAATTTATCATTTTGGCTTAATATTTTCATATCTTGAATTGTATAGTACAAATAGATTTATTTTATAGATATACAATGAATAATTATTAATAATTACTTATGTATATATAAAGGCATTTCTAGGGCCAGAGAAATAATACAGCATGTTTTGCCTTGCACGCAGCTGACCCAAGTTCTATCCCCAGCATCCCATATGGTTCCCTGAGTACTGTCAGGAGTAATTCCTGAGTGCAGAGTCAGGAGTAACCCCTGAGTAACACCAGATGTGACCCAAAAAGCCAAAAAGAAAGAAAGGAAAGAAAAAAATGGAGGAAGGAAAAAAGAAAAAAAGCAAGCAAGCAAGCAAGCATTGCTATGGCACTGATTGACAAATTAGGACACATCCCCAAATGGATCACTCTGCAACTTAAGGAAAGAAGACCAGGGAAGCATCCTAGGCTACATGAAACAATATCCAGAGTGAATAATATTTGAGTTAAAACAATAGATAGATACTTATATATATGGATAGATACATAGATAAAGATGTTACAGTGAAGGGAGTGTATGTGAGTTTGTCAATCCACAGACAATATGTGGAAGATGTTACAGCAAACTTGCAGCTATGATTTATTGCAGAGAAGCGTTCAGGAGTTGGAGTAGGAAAGAGGCATTGTGTTTCTCATACCACTTGGATGTGTTTTACCATTGGCATATTCAAAATTAATTTTTGCTTTTTAAAGCTGAGGTGGCAAGAGCAAAAGCTTAGATCTCCACCGCAGGCCAAACTCCAGAAGAGGCACAGAAAATAAGAAGTGATGGTGGCGTACTCAGAGAAGCTATGGGGCTTCAGGGTAAGGGGTCAGTAGGGTGACCGCAAAGAACAGAGCCCTAAGATGAGCCTGAGAGCCCCAGGGGCAAGGGGGGGCAGAGCCCAGACCCCAGAGATTCAGCTTATCTCTGGCCCAAGACTGGTGGGTGATTGCCGGGATCTGAAACGATGGCTCCAGGCCGTCTGAGTGTTGCTAAGTGGCTGATCCTTAGCTGTTCCCAAACAGAGTGTTGCTCTACACACCTCACACACAAACACCCCCACCCCAGCCAAGGTTCCATTAGCCCCCAAGTGTGATTATGCAATCCTTGGGAACAGTCACTCCCAGAAATGCCACACTCCACCCCCAGGCTCCGGCTCCACCTGGCCTCTGTCCCCTGTGGGTCTCTGTCAACACTCCTCTCCCCACCGGCAGCTGTACACTCTGCCCACTCTGGGGCCAAGGACTAGGTTGGCGACAGGAAGGGTTTGGGTTTCTGAATGGGGGTTGTCAAGACAAACGAACACTCCCCATCCGTCTCCCATCCGGAAGAAGCTGCCCAGAGAAGAGAAGTCACTGGGGAGGAACGGAACCCCTCAGTCCCTTCCTTGACAATGGCCATCCGTCCCCACCTCCAGGGGCCTCACCCAAAGACCCACAGTCCTCCCCAGGGAACTGCCCTCTCCCTTCCCCAAGGGGGGTAGACAATTGTTCCATCTGGGAAATCCACCTTTGCAGTTCCCTCTCCCCTTCGACAGATCAACAGATCCTTAACAGATGACATAGTAGGCACAAGAAGGATGGCAGTTCCCCCCTGCTCTCCTAAGACTAGCTGCCTGGTCAGCCTTCCCACCAAAACCCGTGAATCTCCCTTCTAGCCAAGAAGGGCACCAGGGAGGGAAGCAAGAACCAACCAACCTCTGCAGGGTCACCAGCCGGGCTGCCTTCCCTCCAGGGGCCACTTCCTTGCAGGATGAGATCCACCACCTTTGAGTTCTGGAACACAGCCCCCACCAAAGCAACAGCCTTGTCCATGGCCACCACCATCCTGACGAGGGCTTCGAGAGTGGCCCCATGCTGGGCGGCCTCCTGCCGCACAGCCCTCACCAGCTCTAGGACCTCTGGCCACCCGACCTGGGGAGCAGCTGCAGATGGGGGGTCACTTCCCACTGGACTCAGACCGCGGGAGGCCTCCAGCCGGTGCAGGCCTTGCTCCAGGTGGCCCATACCCTGATAGACGCACTGCAGCTTCTCCGTGACGTCTTCTTGGAAGTGCAAGAGCTTGTCAACCTTCTCATTCAGCAGGTTCAGCTTTTTGTCCATGGTGGTTAAGCAGGCTTTGCCCATGGCTGGCAGGCCTCGGGGCCCCACACCTTCCTTGGGGGCTCCTGACATCTCAGTGCACGCTTAAGAAAGGTGAGAAGATGCAAGAGCTGACAGCGCCTGTTTTTCACTTTGGTGGTGGAGACTAGATGTTCATTGTTCTCAGGGCAGCTAATGGCCTCACCCTGCAGTGCCAATTCACACAGATGGCCGTGTTGTTCAGGGAGCCCAGAGCAACAAGCTTTCTGAGCCTTTGCCTTTGCTTATCTCCCACTCTGTCCTGGGCCATGAGTGACAGGCCGGGTTTGGCGAGGCCCTTCTCCTTGGGGCCCCTTTGACATCATAGCAGCATTTAACATTCCTCTCTGAGAGGCTGCTGATGGGCAAGTATTTTAAGAATCTTCCGAGGATAGGCAGTAGCTGAAACTAAAGGTTAAAAGAAAAGAAGTCCTGTAGGTAATGTGCCTAAAAGCTGTCATCTACAAGGAGGTCTCGGATGGGAATTCTAGGGACAAGAAGCCCAAAGCAGGTTAGCCCTAGTGGTATCCCACAGGCCATCTAGTTGACAAGAAAACAAAAATAAAAACAAAGGGGCTGGCAAGATTGCTGCAAAGGCAGGAGCAAATGCTTTGCAGGCAGCTAGCCTGCGTTTGATCTCCTAGTGCTTTGTAGTCCCCAGGGCACCACTGGGAGTGACCCCCTAAAATTTAGATGGGAGTAGTCCCTGACTAACATCAGGTATGGTGCCAAAACAAAAAAATAAAAATAAGAAGGGGCCAGAGATATGGCCCCAACCCCAAATAATAAATAAGAGGCCAGAAAGACAACAGAGAGTAAGAACGCTTGCCTTGCATCCAGTTCACCTGGGTTCAATCCCCAGTATACTGTATGGTCCCCTGACCCCTCCAGGAGTGATTCCTGAGTGCAGAGCCAAGAATAAGCCCTCTGCATGGCCAAATGTGGCCCCCAAATGAAAATAAATAAGTGTGAGGGCCACGAATGTGGTTCATGTGATAGAGCATTTGCATTCCCTGTATGAGACCCTGGTCATGCCTAGCATCATGCAGATCCCACTGGATACAGGTCCTGGACCCAAACACCATCACCACCACCACCACCACAATGAAAACTTTAACCAGAAAATTGCGAGGATGTGGTGAATTTTTGTTTTGTTTTGTTTTTGTTTGGGGACCACACCCAGCAATGCTCAGACGTAACTCCTGGCTCTGAACTCAGAGTCACTCCTGGTGGACTTGGGCGACCATGTAGGATGCCAGGGATCAAACCTGAGTTGGCTGCGTGCAAGGCAAGCACCTTACCTGTTTTACAATCTCTCTGGCCCCCGATGTGGTGACTTTTGCCACAATGCACACTTTGAAATTTTTGTATATTAAAATAAATAAATAAATGGTCTTCCTACTTTGCTGATGTCCTAGACATGTTTGTGCTGCCTGTCCCTCTTCTCACAGGGCTGCAGTCACTTGCACATAAAAATAGAAGTGAGGGACAACAGCTTAGTCCTCTTATCTCGTGCCATCCACAGGCTGGTTCCTCAGAGAGTCCTCTGGGAAAGAGCAGTGAGAGCTCTCCTGCCCCCCACCCCCGCCCCCCGTAATGACTCTGCAAGTACTGGGCACCTAGGTTTGGTTTTTTTGTTTTGTTTTGTTGTTTTTTGGGTCACACCCGGCGATGCTCAGGGGTTACTCCTTGCTCTGCACTCAAGAATCACTCCTGGCGGTGCTCAAGGGACCATATGAGATGCTGGGAATCGAACCCGGGTCGGCTGCATGCAAGGCAAACACCATACCCCTTGTGCTATCGCTCCAGTCCTGCACCCAGTTTCTAAAGCTAATCAGATGCACTAGGAACAAGGCTTTCCTGTAGCTAAACACTTCAACTTCAGAACCTGTGGTTCAATCATGAATAACTTGGTAACTGTATCTCACTGTAACTCAATTTTAAAAATAAATAATACATTCTTTAAAAAGAAACCCATGGCTCTAATTAATTTTTTTTTACATAACCATCAATAAATATATCAGTTAAAAAAGAAAAGCTCCAGCTGCCACTGAGATGTGACACAAGAAGATGCCCAGAGGTCCAGAGACTCAAAACCCCAGGGAGCCACTGACTGACACTTTCCATACAGGCCTTCAGCAGTGGGGTTAGGGGAACCAAGGCCCTAAGGGAATCTATTCTATATCACTCTACAAAGCACAGCCTCTTTTTTCTTCCCCTCTCATTTGAACTCCTTGTTTGTTTTAAAATTTTATTTTATTTTTAAAAAGTTGTCCATGATATTTATTACATTCACTATTCCAACACCAATCCCATCGCCATTACAACTTCCCGCCACTCTTATTTCCAATTTTACCACCACCACCCAAGTCTGCCCTAGTAGCAGGTCCTACATGATTTATTTTGTATTGCTTTTTATGATTAATTCACTAAAAATGACCAAAAAAGATTTCTTTAGAAGAAAGTGTGTGAAGATTGTTATATCTCACCCTGGAGCCATTAATCCCTTGTGTAAGAGATTTTTAATACATTGTTACAGTTTAAGCCTTGTGTACTAATATTTTCTTAATCAAGATTGGTTGTCTTCTACTTTACATCCCATCCAATGCGGTGTGCTACTCCTGGTATATGAGTGGTGTAGGGTAAGAGATGTCGCTCCAGGAATTCTAAAATTTTGATTGGGGTGATATGGGTGGAGTTAACTTTTTAACTGGCTGGTGACTTTGGAGTTCAGAAGCATCTCTGCAGTTTGCTGATCTCTTTCAAGATTTATTTATGAGTCTCTGGATCATGCCCGGTTAATGAGCTTATATGGCACCAGAGGGGCTGGAACGATAGCACAGCAGTAGGGCGTTTGCCTTGCACAGCCAACATAGCAGACCTGAGTTTGATTCCTCCGCCCCTCTCGGAGAGCTCGGCAAGCTACTGAGAGTATCTCGCCCGCATGGCAGAGCCTGGCAAGCTACCCGTGATGTATTCGATATGCCAAACACAGCAACAACAAAGTCTCCAATGAAGACGTTACTGGGCCCGCTCTAGCAAATCAATGAACAACGGGAGGACAGTGACAATGACAGATGGCACCAGAGGCAGTTTGTAGGCTAGGCTCCTGGAAGATCAGGGGGGTGGGGGGAAGGTCACCCATTCCCAACTCCGTGAGCACCTGGAGATTTCAGTCACAAAACCCCCATACCTGAGTTTTTCAACAGATTCATTCCTGGATGAGGCTTGTCTGTGCCAGTGAAGTTTGGTCACAAAGCATAGCCTCTCGAGGACAATTTAGCTAAAGTCACGTGGGAGGGAGGTATGAGACTCCCCCTAAAGTCCCCACTTCTAAATTAAAGCAATTACAAAACTAAACTTTGACCTGGAGATTTAATATCTATGAGCAACTTTTCATTGTTTTGCTATCTGAAGATGACCTGTACACACAGAATGCTTGCCATGCAAGTGCTGTACTGGGTAGAACTCTCTTGCTACCCTCCCTCCTCTCCAGGAAGAGCTGCATATAGAGATCCATGTCCCTTTCCACAAGCACAGTGCTGGGTGTCATTGGCCAAATGACCAACAGCATTCTCAGAAGAGCACTGGTCTACTCTATGCACTGTGAATTAAAATAAGCACACCAGTAACCACAACAGGCTGGTGACCAAACAATTGGATCAGAGGGGTAAGTTCAGGAGGATCCTGCAGGAAGTAGGAGGTCGGACTGACCTTCAGAAGATTTGCAGAGCAGGAGGGAGAAGTAGGGTTTACCAAGGAAAAAAAAATAAGAAAAAAGGAAGGCTAGGACAAAAAAGACCCTCACAATTTCCAGAAGCAACTCTGGAAGAAAGTTCTGAATATGTTAACAGAAGTCCTTGAGATTTCCTTGATGAAAAGCAGTCATCAAGTGAACTGATGTTAGAATCCTTTTCATTTCTTTCTTTCTTTTTTTTTTTTTGCTTTTTTTTGGGGGTCACATCCAGCATTGCACAGGGGTTACTCCTGGCTCATGCGCTCAGGAATTATTCCTGGCGGTGCTCGAGAGGCTATATGGGATGCTGGGAATAGAACCCGGGTCGGCTGCATGCAAGGCAAATGCCCTACCCACTGTGCTATGGCTCCAGCCCCTCCTTTTCATTTCTTAGCCTACAAGAAAAATTAGTATATGTGTACCTAAGGTCTTCAGAGCTTATGGGTGACTGCTCCCCAACTATCACTGATAAACAGTGAACAAGAGCCACGGTGATTCTTTGAGTGCGGACAGCACCTGCCCAGAACATAGGGGAGATAGTCCGCTCCCCAAGTCAGCAGAATGCAGACCAGGAAAAAAAAGTGTTGAGCTGAACTGTCACAGAGCAGCAAATCCATTGACACCTCATCGCTCATCTATCCCACAGGGCTATTTCCAGAAAAACACAAGTAGATCTCGCCTATTGGTGGGGTGGGGTCAGCATGTTCTGAACCCCAAGACCTGGCCTTTCTGATGGGAGGTTCTGCAGCATCTCATTTGAAACTGTTACAACGATCCTGCCTTGAGTTGAAATATTGAAAAGAAACATGTTTCTTTCCCCTCCAGAGCAGGGATGAAAATAATAAAGGAAAAACAAGAACAAAAAACCACACCTCACCACCCCCGCCCAGTAACTAAAACGAAACAGGGGCCATGGGTGAACAAGTGCAATCAATGATTTCTTGGAACTTGGAAAGCTACCAGAAGAGAGGCAGCTAAAGAAATAAAAAATGAGAAAACTGAAGACTTAACAGGCAGAAAAGATGACAAGCATAGAGATTAAGATCCAGAGAGGGTTTGTTCCCTGAGGCCCTACATAGAGTGAAAGAGGAGCAGAAAGACCAAGTAGAGAAAAGGTCCATTCCAAAATAGGCTCTTCCCTCCTCTGCACAGCGGGAAATGCCTGAAGAGGCCCTGCCCTCTTTGGAGATTAGAGTTCTATTTCTGGAGAAACTCAAAGACCCTAAACAATATTTTTATATGCTGCTTTGAGGTTTCCATTTGATCACCTTCAGAAAAACCAAGCAATCAACAGGCCTTAACTATATATCCTATTTTTTTTCCTTATTCTATACTATACCCACTTTTTTTAATAAAAAAAAAACATAAAAGATCATTAGTCAAATAAGTCCCCCAAGACAAAAAAGGAATCCAAACACAAACAAAAAAATAAAACTGCAGATAAAACAAAATGGAAAACAGAAAAAAACTTCAGAAAATATCTCTTTAAAGCCACAGAAAACACTGACAGTTCA